GGACCAGAAGAGAGTGGTAACGATGCCTAAGAGGCAAACTGATACCCATGGCCACTCCTTTGCCTTTGGCTTGCGACGTGTACGCTTCTGCAGCATGAAGATGCTTGGCGCAGTAATAAACAGGACTAAAAATATGACAGCTGCGACGCCCACGATCGATGGTTGGGAGACTGCAGGTCTGCAAGGCGTTGGAGACTCGAAACCAGACGTCTTGGTAGGCGGATAGACGCCACGCACTACATCCTTACTCTGACTTTGCTCGGTGGCGGAGTTCAAAGTATAAGTGGCTTTGAGTCCTAACAGAAGCAATTGGATGGGGAGAACGATGTTTATAAGGAACCGAGGAACGGATGGCAGAATCGAGCGCATGGTGGGCGAAGACAAGATGATGTGACGTGACTGATTTGCGGTGTCACAGAGGTGTGTCAATCCGCCATCACGTGTCTACACTGCGTCGCGACCTCTCTTTCCTCTGTCCTTCAATCACTGAGTGTTCTCCTTGTGCACCACGCCTAGTACCATCTCTTGAAATTCGCGATATCTCTCAATCCACTCCCTCAAGGCGGGATCAAGCTAAAGAACAACCTTGTTGCAACAGCACGAATTAACTGCCAGTGTCCGAGTTGGTGCGTGCTGCATATTCTCTTTGGCGATGTAGTTTACTGGCTGATGATGAAATAGCCATGCTTCTCCTTCCCATTCTTTTTATCGTATCACTGTTTGCTTCCCTTGCACACGGCCCACGACCCTCGGCTCCTCCCGTGGAACTGCTGACACTTGAAGAATACCGCGCGATTTTACGAAGACGTCAGGCGGCGGCAAGGCGAGTCAAGCTCATTAACGCCCCTCAATCCACTAGCGAGGCGTCCACAACCGACAAAAATTATCTTCCTCCTCCAACTTCTTCCTGTTCAAGTTCTTCAAGTCCAGAGCTTTCAAGTTCCCTCACCCCTCCAACCACTGACGAAACTTTCGAAAACGGCGGGGATGATGGTGAAGCAAAGGCGACTGTGACACGCCTGCAGAAGATCATCCAACTGGCCTGGCTAGTCATCGTTTTCCTTGTTAACTTGCTCTTGTTTGTCCCGACTTGGCTCCTCCCTGACCCGGTGGGCTTCACCGCTGTCAGCACGCATGTGGCTTGGTGGACGACAGTTTTCTGTGGCTTTTTTGTGTTTGGTTGGGCTGCCTACCACTATCTCGCCCCATCCGACTGGGATCTCTATGACTTGGTCCAGCGCATTCGCACAATTATTTTGGGTGGTCGCGAGAATGCCCAAGAAGCTGGTCGTGATGTAGCTGGCCCGGGTGCCGATGCCGCTGGGGCTGAGAATGCCAACGAAGCACAAAATCCAATAGATTGGGTCCTAAACGGCAGGTAGTTGCATTAGAGACAGAGAGGGTTGTAACTTTGGCAAATAGGACTAGGGCGCGACGACCAACTTGTTGTCCTTCAAGGTGAAGGTGATTGGGAAGCCGAACCACGTGCTGCTGATGGCGCCTGTCAGTTTCTTTTCTCTCCATCTTCACGTTTTTGCTCAAGGCTTCAGTGTGGATCAACGTTGCTGGGCGGCCAATCGACCAGGAGCTTCAAGACTTCGAAGTAGCCGCGCAAGATCAGGGCGGAATACATCCAGATATCAACCAGCAGGGTAACGATGTGCTTGAAGACGACGAGTTGGCTCGTCAGTTGGATGTTCCAGGTGCGTCCGTATGGCTTTTTTATATGCTATCCTCTCTAAAGTTCCAGCTCTTGCCAACGTGTTGGGAGACGCCATCGCAGTAAACAACCACGCCCCACTTGAGGAAGCAGAGCTTTGGGGCGAAATTGAGGCCCAAGAGCCTGTGCATGAGGCTGAAGGTGCGGTCACGGTGGTATTGCTTGGTCTTGAATGCGATTTTCATGGTTTATAGCCAACGAACAGCAAGTCGAGGACTGGGAGCCGAAAGACTTACTCGCACTCGAAGAGGCACTGCTTGCTTTCGGTCAGCAATCGATGAAATTGTAATTTATTCCTTATCAAGTTCCTTAGATGTCGGCGAGGACCATGGCGACGAATTTCACAGGATGATGAAACATTTCCGCTGCCTTGAAAAGCTCCTGCTTGCGTGTGGTCAGTTTTTTCTTTTACAGCTTGTATGCCCGTTCATTTTCGAGCCCAGATATTTTTGCGAGTGCGAATGACCAGTTGTGGTTGCCGCGGGACTTGTTCAGGGTGGGACAGGAGAAGCCTCAGGTAGATCACCTCAAGGAGGCAATGAAGCATTTTCGTCTGGCTGAGAAAGCCATTCTCGCGTTCGGTGGGTGTTTTTGTCTTTCAAACTGTGCCTTCTTTGATTCGCCGGTCCAGACATCTTTGGTGGCAACGGTGACGAGTTGCTGGGTGATTTGTTTGAACTCGATTTGGATGGGGTTCCTGAAGGTGAACAGTTTTGCTTGATGCTCGTTCAATGGGCTTATGCTTTTCCAGGGGACTCAGAAGAGGTCGATATTGAGGATCTCGTCAACCGCCATCCGACCACCCTGAACGACGTTCAGCCACACGACTTTGCCGTGGCAGCTGAGGTGGTGGAAGGTAAACCGCATTTCAAAATTTACCCATCTAATATTTCTCTCAGCGGATGATTTTTTTAATGAGGAACTCGAGGCATTCGATGATGACGACGATGATGACAAGTGGATGTACAATTGGATCTATGACTGGCTCGGCGAAGGGGTAGAGGTGGTGGATGAGTTCAACCCGCGCGTAAACATTGGAGGATCCGTTCCTGGTATGTTCCTCTAACTGGGAGTTGATTTGAGCTGATGTCGACACCAAGAACTTTTTGTCCCTGCCCCTCCTGCAGACTTCGCTCAATCTTCCACTTCATTCACCCCACCCGGCTCTCATTCGTTCATTCGATTCGGTCAAGGCATTCGACAATACCACTCTCCAAACCTACCGCCTCCAGTCGACCACCCACCTCCAGTCACTCAAACACAAGATGTGTTGTTTGAATCTCCTCCTCAAGGCTCTCCTGCTGTGTTCATCGCTGGAAAAAGGCCAAGACCATTGTCTCCAGCCCCATCTCCTGCAAATAGCCAACCTTCTGCCAAAGCTCTCGGAAAGCGGCGGGCCGTCCCATCTGAAGACTCGTCAATCAACGACAACGAAGAAGCTACTCCTCAGCTGACTCCCCAAGCAACGCCTCCCGCAACACCGCCAGTCGACCCTTTCGCACCCTCAACGAGCAAGTTGCACCCATTGGTGAAGATCGCTCTAGCTGATTTGGCAAAATCTTTTTGGCGCTCAGTTTGATTTCTCGAACTTTTCCGGACATCAACGTGCTTCTTCTGGCAATGTGGCGCTGGGTCTGCAGCGGGCTTCCATTCGTCTGCGGCGGATGGAGGGTGAAGCGGAGACGCGACGAGCGCGGACTGTGTCGGGTCCAGTTTGAGTATGCGGTGGTGGATTCCTAGTGTGTCGATTTGTGGTAGGCTTTGTCAGGCCTGATGATATGACTCTGACATGTTTGCCGCAGTGTTTCTTCAAGTGGTCGAGCGAACAATATTCAGCTTTTTATATGCCCATTGTAATCTGCGATACCAATCATATTTGCCATTGACTTCTATGCATGTGTAATTCTACACCAGTACACCAAATCAAGTCAACAGCCACAAAGAACAGCTAAAAAGTTGAGTAGGTCAGCCAGCATCCGGGGCCGCATCCCATTCCTCGAGGAAAAAACGAAGAAAAGAAAAGGAAACAGAGGAGTTATTTGACAACTTAGCAGGTTATCGATGTCCTTTGACGCCCATTCGATGCTTAGTGAGCCCCCGTCCGTACGCCCCGTTGGAATCTCACAGGAGACCTGCCGGCCAGCATCAGCGATGCAAATTTAAGACGCGACATCCTCGATCCGAAACCGCGGCGGGCGCACTGCAACAGTCGGGCTCTTGCCGGTCGGACTCCTGGACCAGCCATTGATCGCCTGACACAACACGGTCTTCTCACTTTGGTCACTAGTGTCCAAGGGTGAGTGGTTGTTTTCGACGACGATAGAGTCAACTGACCGCTTTGGAATTTTATCTCGCAGAATGGTCCTGTCCTGATGTTGCTGAGACCGTGTGTGTAGGGACTATGGCTGGGCCTGCATCGGTTAAGGGTAGCATTTCGATGAATGGGTGGTCGATGGTCGGTTGGTTGGTTGGTTTGGGGGTGTGTGCGAAAGAAAGAAGAAAGAGAGGCAGAGGTAGTGGATGGTGAACGATGTGGTGGTCCCAGTCTCGATGGACAATGGATAGGGATATAAGTGGTTGATAACCGACCACCACGCGAACGATGGGACGATGCCCGTAGAGAGAGAGAGAATGGGTGGATAGCTGACTGCCTACTCACCAGTGTCGAGCATGAGTACAATGTTGTCGAGCATGAGTCCGATCTGAGCATGGTGAGCGAACCTCGTGTAAGAAGGTATGCGACACCTACATCGAGTGCTGTTGAGGGTTGTGGAACGGTCAGTTGCTTGAGCTTGAGGGAAGGGAGCAGGGGAGCGAGTTCGAAGAGAAGACGAGGGGAGAGGACAAGAGGCTGTTGACCACGTTGCAAGACGGCACGGCCTTTTATACCCATACCCATGGACGCCCACACCGGGCGCCAGAGATGTCGCCGAAGAGTCAGAGGACAAAAAAGGAAGACATGTGGCATCGATGTGTGGGTGTGGGACCAGATTTTCACAGCATCGGAGGACTAGTAAAGAGTGAAGGAAGCTCTCAGCAGGCTTGTCGGTGCTCTTGATCACGGAGGACAAGGCTGACGCCGCCCACCACACTGAAAATTTCAGTCAGATTATTCCCCCCAACAAATACCTCGTTTAATTTCTCTCCAACCCTACTTTCAAGTCCAGCGTATGCTCTTGACGACATCCATAATGAAATTCGAAGTGTACTCGGCTGTACTTGGGAAATCACGAACGTATCAAAACTCCAGCCACTCGAGCTCTAAATGCTATTAGTCAGGTTAATCTTCCGTGCGGCGCAAGGGTTGAACACGCGGCAGAGGAACAAGACGACCCGCAGACTTGAGCATGAATCTTTGCTCGGAGCCATCACCCTAAACTGCTTCAGTTTTGTGCAGAGGAACTATGGCAAAAACTCACAATCATTGCTGACGGGAAGCCCAGCTCAAATAGAACCACGCTCTCAAGATAACTAATCTGTTCTGGCGAAAGAGAGATGTCAAGAGCCTCGACATTGGCCACCAGATGTTCTATTTTGCGTCCGCCGACGATAGGGAAGCAGTAGGGAGCTTTCTACATCACATAGGCGATGGCAACTTGTGTAATGGGTGAGCTATGAGCATATGACGAGGTCTATTTACCAACCGGCTTGGATAGACTTGGCTCCAACCTCCCCGGCAACTTTTTCGAGCGCACGAGACATCTTGACTTCGTTTTCGTTCCGCTCCCAGTTAGGATCCAGCAATGTCCGGCCGTTTTCTCCGCTCTCTCGACGTGCCTGATCCTGAGCATCAGTTCGCAGTTTTCCGCCCGCAAGCACATCCCATGGGGCGAGAGCCATGCCTAGCACCCGCTGTCAACCGTGACCAGACAACTTGTGGTAAACGAATACTTGCCGTGAGCGCGCGCCATGGGTATGATTTCGCGCTCAAAAGAACGCTCCAGTACATTCCAGCGGCCTTGGTAGATCACAAACGGCGATTTTCCGTGGTCTTTTGCGTAACGATTGGCCTCCGCGACCACCCACGCGGGCGCGTCGGAGATGCCCAGATAGAGCACTTTCCCCTGAACGACAAGATTGTGCAAACCGTTCATGACTTCCTCGATGCTTGTGTCCCAGTCCCACCAGTGGACATAGAGTATATCGACATAGGGAGTACGAAGCTTTTTGAGACTGGCCTCAACGCTGAGATGCATCGACTTGACGTTGTTGCCAGCGTAGTTGGCCTTGTTTAGATAACCTGGCTTCCGCGTTTTGTAGTTCGAGGTATACTGGATCCCTGTCAAGTCATTGCGGAGTCCTTTTGAACTGACGCGCCTTGGTCGCGATGACAAGCTGGTCCCGTATGCCGCGTTGTTCCATCCATTCTCCGAGAAACTCTTCAGAGGATTCATCCTGGCTGCAAGCGTAGAAATCATGAGCGGGTGTTGTAACAGTAATAAGAAACGACGCACTAGCTGTTGGCCGTGTCGATGAAGTTGCCGCCATTTTCGACGAACGCGTCGAGTAGCTTGAAGCTCGACTCCTTATTCATCGATCCGGCTCCAAACTGCTCCCATTTGTCTCCAATGCTCATCGCGCCGAGCTGGAGGGGAGAGACATGAATGCCTGCGTTGGGAGAGAGTGTTCTGTAGTGTGCAAGCTTGGTAGCCGCTGGGATTGGTGCCTCCCAGAAAGACATGTTGGGTATGAGCCCACTCAGACCACAGCTGCCGTCTTTTATCTGGTCGAAGTATCAACCTCATCTTCTCACACCCACAACGAAAAGAATCCGAAATGGGGGGGCGCTCAACAACCAAGTGGCTCCCGTGGAGAATACGAGCGCCGCAACAGCTGAGAAAGCGCGCTTTGTCAGCTCTTGCAATTGTCAGCTCAGCGAGTCACTTAATCAGCGAAGAAGTAGGACTGGTCACATTTCAGTGCAGAAGTTACAACAAAACTAACCCTTATCAGCCGGCTCCTTGAGTTCGCTCCAAGATTCGATTGACTGCCATTTGCCGACCCTGTTGTTGAATGTGATCTTGCATTCGCGCCTCCCTCATGCGCGTTAGAATATCCGTCAGCATTGCTGCTGTCATCCCATTCCCGTCGACTGGCGGTGGTGTTGCGTCAGCTTCTGATTTCTTTTCAGATAGTTTGTCCCTGTAGCGCTCCCAGAGCGTGTACATGGCGATGATTTCTTGGGCAATTGTGGCTACCAGTGGGAGGGAGACGTTCAAGCCGGCAAGGAAGGTGAGCGGGTCCTGGGTGCTGGATTTGTCTGCTGCGTGACGCGAGGAACGTCGAGGAGTGGGAGTAGGCTCGTGGGAAGCGGCAATGGCGCTTTGTGTTGCAGGGTTGAACACACAGGTAAGGTAGATGGCAGCGATGGCAATCAGGTGTGGCGGATAGAGGAGACAGAGTTCAGAGCGAAAGGTGTCGTTGATAATGAACCATGCCGTTTGGAGTCCGCCGGAAGGGAGCTCAAGCTGCCCTTGCCCAGTCCCCCAATACCGCGAGCCATCCTCCGCATTAACACCGACACCGACTTCTCCGGCCTCTGATTCCTCCTCAGGCTGATCCTCGGCAGACTTGCACAAGGTGAGCAGTGTTCGATAGGGATGGAAGACTGTCAGGTCGCAGTCAAGGTCGTCGACAAGGTAGAACTCCATCTCGGCGAGCTTGGTGTTGTCCGTAGGGAAGGTCTTGACGTTGTATGGCTCCTCTACAATTGTCAGACCACACCAGAAATGAAAAAGAGCAGCCACTGACGACCAAACATCCGCCTGGCGTCAGAGACGACATTCTTGATGTGGACCGGAAATTCCTCTGCTTTTGAGGCAAGATAACAGCATGCTGCGGCGACGATGAATGGGTCGGTCTCGCAATAAGAGTTTTTGAGGTAGAAGCGTCGAAAGAAAACTGTCGCGGTGGCGATGGCACGTTGCGCGAGATGGAGAGACCTTCCTAGCTTTGCAACCACTGCCAAATATGAATTTAGGCCTGGTATTGGGGGTAAAAGGACGAACCTTCAGCAAAGTATATCGCTAGAAAGTCTAGATGCTCAGGGTCTTCTACATAAAGCAGGTCTTCTGCTCTTGCTTGACGGAGTGTCGCACGGTCGACAATCCATCGCTTGCTACAGGCCGTCAGGTCGGAGTTAGAGGATGAAAAGGCTTGGTACTAGTGGGAACTCGACCAGAAATCGGTGGCCATTTCAACGGGTGGTCATGATGGAAAGGATCAACCGGCTGCAAGTTTTTTTCTCTTCCCGACCACCACCATGCTTTCCCGTTCCGCCCTCCGTACGCTGACCCCCTCGTCGCGTCTCTTCTCCTCATCCGCTCCCCGACAAACTAAGGTTGCGGTTCTCGGTGCGGGTGGAGGAATTGGTCAACCTCTCTCCCTACTGCTGAAAAGTGACCCTCTCGTCACCTCTTTGAGCCTATACGATATTCGCGGTGCGCCTGGTGTCGCCGCCGACGTCAGCCATGTGGATACCGGCAGCGAGGTGCGTTGTTCTACTTGACTGACACAGTTTCTTACGCACACCATGTTCTAGGTTAACGGCTATGCTGCCGACCACCTCGACGAAGCTCTCCAAGGTGCCAAGGTCATTGTTATCCCTGCTGGTGTACCAAGGAAGGTATGAGCATATTCTTGTCGCGTTTTATACTGTCCTAACTCGGTTTGCTAGCCAGGAGTACGTTTTTTGCCCTCGTTTTTATTTTTGACTAAGACGTGGCTTCTTAGATGACCCGAGACGACCTCTTCAATGTGAGTCCTTATGCTTTCTGTGACTTTTCTCTGACGTGGCCCGCTCCAGACGAATGCCTCAATTGTCCGTGACCTGGCCGCTGCTGTTGCCCGTGTAGCACCCGACGCCAACATCCTCGTAATCTCCAACCCCGTCAACTCGACTGTTCCTATCGTCGCGGCTACCCTCGAAAAGGCTGGTGTCTTCGATCCCAAGCGCGTCTTTGGTGTTACCACCCTGGATGTTGTCCGCGCTGCTCGTTTCCTGGCTGGCATCAGCAACGCCAGCCCCAACGACACACCCGTGACCGTCATTGGTGGCCACAGCGGTGCCACGATCGTCCCCCTTCTTTCGCAGTCCAGCTATGGCAAGGGTGTCACCGGTGACGCGTACGCTGCGCTTGTCAACCGCATCCAATTTGGCGGCGACGAGGTCGTGAAAGCCAAAGACGGTGCCGGTAGCGCAACCCTCTCGATGGCCTACGCTGGCGCCAAGTTTGCTAATGCTGTCCTCCGTGGCCTGAACGGCGAGAAAGGCGTCGTCACCCCGACATTCGTCAAAAGCCCGCTATTCGCCGACAAGGGCATCGACTTCTTCTCGTCCAACGTTGAGCTCGGTGTACGTATTGAAGTCCTTCCCTATCTCATCTGCTTACCCATTTTGTGCAGGTAAATGGTGTCGAGAAAATTCACCCCATCGGACAAATTTCGGCGGAGGAGGAGAAGTTATTGGAGGCGTGCCTTCCGGAGCTGAAGAAGAACATCGAGAAGGGCAAGGCTTTCGTTGCATAATTCCTTGGTGTTTTCATTGTCTTCCACTGGAGGCACTAATTCTGCAATGTCCAAAAGTAGATTCTGCATGCCTACTGGATTCTTGACTGGATTTCGCTGTGCCAATACATATATATTTTACACTAAACTGGAGGCCTGTATCCCAAGGTATCTTTTATTCACTGGCACCAGCTCCTCTCTCCATATCCATAGCATCCTACAGTCAATTAACAACTGACCCGACTAACTGTTTGATACCGCATACCATAGATAATACTTGTTTGTCTCGATCTGAAGTAGTTTCCATCATGCGATGCATTTGTATGACCATATTCTTTCGCAAGGATGAGTTCGTGGGCGATGACAACAATGGATCACTGACTGTAGGTCGTTGTGGCAGAGTGCTGGAGGCCCCCGAGCTCACAGTAATGATGGTATTCTTTGAGCGCAGTTTTTTCCGGTTGTTCAACCTTGAAAATGTTCATACTAGTCGTGGTCCAGGATCTCATGATTACTTACGATGCAAGCATTGAGTTGGAGAATACTGCGGTGCTGTGAGCGCCGAGTTGAAACTTGCTGCATAGAGACTCACATTTAGGTTGTAATAGATAAAAGGTAATCCAGGTAACTAGAGTACAGATTATTTAGTATTATTAAAATCAGTTAATACTTACGATCATCCCTGGTCAGGAACTATACAATAAGTAGGTGTAAACAAATAAATTGAAATGAATAATCAAACTAACCATGATAAGTTGCATAATACCAGCAAGACTGTAATAGGAAGTCAACTTTTTGATATCTCTGTATATTAGTATATGAAATACCAAGTAATAGCTGTTGTTTCTGAACAAGATTTGACTCTACTGAGCAGCACATTTATTCAAGAGACATACCAACAGTCCACAGGATCAGATCATCAACAATTCGCCGTGTTCTATAGAGGTTAATTTAGTTCAAAAATATTTTAAGATAGTTGTCAGCATACGATGCTATTCTTGTTGATCCAGTCCTTTTTTGCCATAAAAGATAGCAAAGTGAAGTGGCAGTTATAATATCTACAGTTGGACCCAGTGATGCAACCAGAGTGAACACCCAATAGATTTTGATGTCAGTATGGAGAACTGTAAATCCGGCAGAGTGGAGGAACAGGGACATGAGGACCATGCTGAAGACAAAGCGTAGGGAGGTGAGCACAGAGCAAATGGCTGTGATGCTCCAGCGACCTGACAGACTGCGGATACGGAGTGCATAAAATGTCTAGAAAATTATTTGTATGAAAACAGTGATAGAACGGTGGCTGTCTGGCTAGCTGACCTGCACCAAGGGAATCACAAGCCCTGTAAACAGAATAGAGATGGCCAGTGATTGAGGAGGATTGAGCAGGTGTCCAAGCTGGCCATAGAATGTAACATTGATTGAGTACAACTAAAATTTGTCAGTGTTTTCTGAGTGCTTTCAGTGAAATATTGACATACCCCATGCCAGGTGGAGATAGAGTGGGCAAGCTCAAGAAACCTAAGCAAAGAAATTAAACAGTGGTCAGGTTTTGAATTGAAACCTTGAGCACAACTGCGTTACATACCAAAGAATAGCAACCTGAATATAGGTCATGTTAATGACAAGCAGGTAGTAGCGAACTGACCGCAGTTTTGAGAATGGGACCATCGGACGGATAATCTTGAAAATAATTAAATGTCTGCAATGTGCCTATCCCGAAGAGGAAAGTCCCGACGACACCACCGATTTCGGCGGCGCCTAATAGTCCGTCGAGGGGAGGGATAGTTTCTGCTGCCATGAGAAATAGAAGGCAAGGGGGCAAGCGCGCGACCAGGCGACGACGACTCGTCTTATAAAGGCCCCGCCAGTCGTGCAACTCTAAAAAAAAACTTGAATGAAACACCAGACTGCTATTTTTGTCGCCGATTTGAGGCTGAAGGGCGTCCTTCGGTCGTCCGGAGTCAGCGCGCAATAATACCCGTCGATAAGTCGAGCCCACGCAACAGCGCTTGATGCTCATGCTCGCAATCACGGTGCCTAATTTAGATGGCACCCACGGTGGCGTCGTCGTGGCGCATTCATCAGGTGGGACTCAATGAGATGCCGGCGGCCATATCGAGCAGACCCCAAGTTGTGTCCCCAGCCCAGCGAATATCTTTCCAAAACAACAATGAACTTGATCGGGACGGCATCTGAGAACAGTGTCAAGTTCACAACCTCCTCAGTCCTGGCTCGTCTAGTGATGCCTGAGATTCAGTGCAGCCCCAGGAGCGGAGACCATGGCTAGTAGGACTTGGATAGCCATGCGTTGACCCGTGCTGCGCGGCCGCGGTTGAATACTTGGAGATTCCGGGTAAGCACCTGTTTAGACATACGTGTACAGCCAACAACCCGCTGTCATCATGATGGAAGCAAGCCACCATGGGGATCGTAAGACGTCCAATTTTGGACCCAAGACGATCTGTGGGTAAGCAACGAGCGAAGTTTTCGAGGGCCATTCGCCAGATCACAGCTGGTCGAGTTCGGAGACTTCGGCCATACGGTCATTGGTAAGATGATAGAACGATCGCGAGAAGCAAGGCGAATTGTCAACGAGATAGACATTACATTCGACGAAGCTCGAACTGCGAACCTTGGATCATAGCTCCCTCACTCCTCAGTCCCTCTTGGATCTCATTCAGTACCGCTGGAAGCACGCCGTTGTCGACCGCGTTTCCAAACGGAATTTCTAATATGTTTTCCTTGGCCAACACGGAGCCGGTGAACGAAAAGACAAGGCCCAGATTGCTGGCAGACTCTGCCTCGTACTCCGCTAGTGAATCGCCCTTCGACCCAGCTCGGTGGGCGCAGAGCTTACCCCATGGCGACGAGACGTTTTCCTGGGCGGAAACTGCCAGTCCCAATGCATTAGCGAGTTCGGGGAGGCGGAACGATAACCTAATGCACACTTGAGACCGAAATTTTGTGGTATTAATGCCCTTACCCAACCACTCGCTGTTTGCGTAGCATGTAACCGGTGTAAAGGGAGTTGGCTTTGTCGCGCCAAGTGGAGCCTTTCATATATGATTGTATAGCGTCTCCGTGTGAGTCTTCTCGCCGCTGACGGTCTTGAAGCTCTGTCAACAAGATAGGGTCAACCTCCTCGAGAAGAATAACACCGTTCGGCTCTGCAAATATTGAGCGCCAGAAGGTCGGCAACCCACACGCGTCCTTACTGAGGATATTGCGCAGGTTTGTAAGCGCCGCCTTCCAGTCTTCTTCCGTCAGGTACAGGAAGAGCAAGCTTGCATGCACGATGTCGAACTGACCGAGGTGGTCCGGGAAGGGCTGTGTGATGTCCTGAGCGAATGGCTTTAAGCCTGCTGCGTCCAACACGGAGGACGGGGGGAAGCATGCAGTGTCAACATCGCAAACGTGGATTTCAATCGCCCCTTGCTGACCGCGAACTTGGGGTAGAGCAGCGAATTCGAGAGCCCAAGCACAGGTTCCAGCAGCGACATCAATAACACGACGGACTTGGTTTATATCAACCGAGTCGGGCAAAGGCGACGTTCGCCCGTATATCTTCTTGCGCATATCATACTGCCTTTGCAATCTAAGCGAAATACTTCAGCTGCTAAACGGCCACGAAAGCGCCGAATATAACCTTTCTTGCTCTGGAACTAGTTTCTTGCCTGCGTTCATGGTCAGAGATAGAGCCGCAGCGAAGGCTGTGAACAGACTTTAGCTCTGACAGTTTCCGCTGCTTCGGCACTGCGTATCACGCATCGAGGAATCGTGTTGGGGAAGCGGGAAATTGCTGGCTAATTTTGTTTGTCTGGCCGCGAGTCCCCGTGCTGACATAAACGGGATGTCCAAGGAATGTAGGTCTCGTTGGGCTCGATGCATCGCTCGCCTGCGGCTATAAGCGACTGAGAGGAGATTCGAAGAAATTTCCAAGTTGGTCAAAATGCAGAAAATCACACTGTCACTCAGCGTCAGTCACGATCAACAACAGCCATCATCTCGTCAACAAACATTCTTTCTCCCGCATTTGTCCCGCATTCACAACGCGTTCATCAAGGGTCGGGGCTGAGGATTGGTTATCAGCTTGCTATCGGCGACAGATGGAGAAGCTCACTGGCAAGCCGACATGCCCATTATAGAAGATGTCTGTTGTTGCAACCCACGGAACTGACGCAGGGACGGACGAATCACGGTTGCTTCCTTCACCCAGTCATCGAGGGAAAAGCATGTACCGGTCTCAAAATAGAACCAGTGCAGGAATAGGAGCGTGGGCACTTCATACGGCGTTCATATGTCGAATCTTGCTCTCTGACGCTTCACTTATACCCAGCATCGTCTCTCATTTTGATCCCAGCTATCTCGATGTCCATCCCCCAAGCTATCAAACGCATTACAGAGGAGCACGACAATTCTCCATTCTACGTTTTTGCTGAGCCCAGCCCATCTACTGAGGTTATCACCGTAACCCGATTTGATTTCGCGAAGGCGGCGCACCGTGTTGCTTGGACCCTTTCGGGCTACTCTCAGCCTACAAGCTCTGGAGAACAGCCAACGGCGCCAACTGTTGGGCTCCTCGCAAATACCGACACTCTTGTTTACCATGCCGCAGTTGTGGGCGCCATGTGTGCGGGACTAGTCGTCAGTGGTGATTTCTCCCGGTTCGATTTGTTGGATGCTGACATGCAACAACCAGCCGTTCCTTCTGTGGCCGCGTCTCGAACCGAAAGTTGTTGTCAGTATGCTGAAGCAAACGGACTGCCATTTTCTCTTGGTCACTGAAACGAGTCTTACCGACCTCATTGCTGGTATTAGAGCCGAGTTGGCGCGTGTCGACCCAGATTATCCTCTCCGCATTCAGGAATTTCCTAGCCTGGCCGCAGTCTATCCACAACTGGCCCACGTTGAATCTGTGTCTGAGGAGCCTGAGCCATACCCTTCACCTCCGGCCCGGGACCCCGAGAGTCTTGCAATGATCATGCATTCATCTGGTAGCACTGGTTCGGCTAAACCAATCCGACATATACACAAAACCGTGTCGGACTGGACTGAGTTTGGTATGTGGTATATTCTTGCGTATTCATTCCACGAGTTGAGCTGGGTTATTGTAGCCATGATAAAAGAAATTCACCACTTCGCTCCAGCGCCATTTGCCGTTGGTGCAATGGGTCTGACACCTTGGGCTCTGTCGGGGACTTTTTGTCAGCTTCTACAGCCTTTGTTTGGTGGCATAGCCGTTGCTCTTTATCCTCCTGTCGTCAAGTCGCCCGGTCAGATACCCATTGTGCCCACACCGCAAAACTCAATCGAGTATGCGCAAAAGGCTAACAGTAAGGTTATGCTGTGCTTCCCAGCTTTGCTTGCCGGCTGGTCTGAGTCTCCGGATGCTGTCAAATTCCTCCAGTCCATGAATCTCGTTGTATGTTTGCCCTTCATTCTGGGACATGTCGCTCACCGCTATAACCAGCTTTTCGGAGGGGGAGCCTTGGCTCAGGCAGTCGGGGACTCGCTGGTGTCGCTCGGCATTAATATTCGCTCTCTCTATGCTGCTACGGAATTTGGCGCAATCTCTGTACTTCGACCCCGTCCCGAGGATGCGAAGGACTGGGAATATATGCGCTTCACCGACCGGGCAAAACCTCGCATGATTTCTCTCGGGCAGGGCATGTTTGAATGTCAATTCTTAGTCAGTTCTCCTTTACTATCTTGATCATCCAGTCAATAGACATCTCCTAGTCCTGGGAAAAACATAAGCTTAGTGGCGAAAACCTGTCCGACACCAAGGGCTATGCGACTGCGGATATTTTCGAGCGTCATCCACGCAAGAAGGATTTGTGGCGGAGGTTTGTGCATATATGGGAGTCTAGATGTCCTTGGCTAATACGAATAAACAGTCTTGGACGACGCGACGATATGTTGACCATGGCTTCTGGGACCAAGATCATGCCGGTGGCCGCAGAAGATGCCATCGGCGCAACCCCTCAGTGAGACCGATATTTGTGCAAGTAATCGTTGTTGGCTCAACAACAAGCAGTGCCGTGGCTGCTATTATATTCAAAACTTCTTCTGATAAGCTTGGAGTGCTGGTGCAGCCGAAACCGAACTTGCAGTCCACGCTTAGCGAAGAGGGTTTGCGAGACTTGTTGTGGTGCGACTCCAAACTCGGTCCGGAACTTCATCTGATCCTCTCTTGTCAGGTCCGCTGTCCTTATGGGCAACCAGAAACTACCGAAATCCCACCAAATTCCGCGACCTTTGCTATTGGTAACAACACCTGACCGGCCACTGCCACGTGCGGGCATGAAAAATCTCATTTCCCGTCGTAACTGCATCATTGAGTATGAGGCGGAAATCTCAGCAGCGTGAGTCTCCTCACTATGTAAACTTTCTTCTCTCAACAGTTTGTGCGTCACTTAGGAATGACGTCGTTATTCCACCAGCGACGAAAGGCAGAATAGCCCAACTATTTGCTGCGTTGAGATGGTCATAAGTTTCTGAGCACTTCATGTTCATTCTTGTATATCGAATAGAATCGAGTAGAGGAATGCGCCAGAAGTCTGTGCACCAAGTACATTTCGACTGCAAACTGCGGATCAATCAATGATTGATGACATCATCTCGTTTTGGAAACTCTCATCGCCGACCACGTCTTCGACACTTGCTGTCATTTCCTTCCCTTCTTCCCCTCGCAAGCTCGACGACGCTCATGGCGGTTAGAGCACGGCGACCCGCGTCACCTCCGCCTGGTGCTACGCATCCCACTCCCCAACGATTTCCACATCCCAGGCAGGACCATTTAGATGCAGACCAACGCCGCGCCGCTGCCTCCAAAGGACTGGCCCCAGGGCGTGTAAAAGTGTACCCACTTGGAGGACTGAGTCTCAGCTCTGGCGAGTGGAAGCTGCTCATCGTAGTGCTCGTGGTTGCTTGTATAGTTCGCCTTTTCCGCCTCTCCAAGCCTTCAAGTGTCGTGTAAGTTCATAATCTCGTCTTTCTTGACGCGTCTGACCATTCTGTCAAGCTTCGATGAAGTTCATTTTGGCAAGTTTGCCAGCAAGTACATTAAGACCCAATACTTCGTCGACGTCCACCCGCCTCTGGCCAAGCTTCTCATAACTCTGGCCGCATTCGTATTCGGATATGACGGAAGCTTTGAGTTCAAGGATATCGGAAAGTGAGTGTGAATCGAATTGTTTGACTAAAGACCTTCATATCGCGATAGACCTTATGAAGACGTGCCCTACGTGGCCATGCGTCTAGTTCCAGCTCTTCTCGGCATTGCCACTATTCCCCTTTCCTATTTGACCCTCCGTGGCCTCGACTGTCGCGCGACTACTGCACTCCTTGCATCTCTTTTCATTACCTTCGAGAACGGGCTTGTCACCCAATCTCGTTACATCTTACTCGACGCTCCCCTCGTCTTCTTCACCGCCCTCGCTATATTCTTTTGGGTTGGATTTTGTAACGAGGACAAACACGAACCATTTACTGAATCATGGTGGTTCTGGCTCGTGATGTCCGGTATATCGCTTGGTGCCGTTTTAAGCGCCAAATGGGTCGGCCTTTTCACGGTCGCCACTGTTGGATGCAGCACCATCCACCAACTCTGGGTGCTCTTAGGCGACCTACGTGTCAAACCTAAAACTTGGTTGCGACATTTCGTTGCTCGTGCTCTTTGCCTCATCGTCATCCCCGTCGTATTCTACATGGGGATGTTCCAGATTCATTTCATGATTCTAGGCAGCTCGGGTGACGGAGATGGCTTTATGAGCTCTGAGTTCCAACACACTCTTGGTGGGCGCGGGATGCAGGACACCTTTGCGGACGTTTATCTCAACTCAATCGTTACCATTCGCCATGTCAACACCCAAGGCGGCTATCTCCACTCTCATGCTCACAACTATCCTGGTGGCAGCAAACGTACCGCAGTTTATTCGTTCCCGTTATACCTCTCTGACGGTTTCCACAGAACAGCAAATTACGCTCTACCCACATCGTGACCACAACAACGACTGGCAAATTACAAATGCAACATGGGAAGAAATTCCGTCGAATGGCCTCATGTTTGTCGGCGACAAAGCCCGCGTAAAATTATTCCACCCTTCTACCGACAAACGTCTCCACTCCCATGACTTCCGCCCGCCAGTGTCAGAAGTTGACTTCCAGAACGAGGTCTCGGCTTATGGCATGGCCAATTTCGAGGGCGATGCTAATGACGATTGGTGGCTCGAAATTGTCAGCGGAGACAAGCGTGACTCGCACTCAACGAAGCGACTCCGGACAATCAAAACCAAATTCCGTCTCCGCCATGCACTTACTGGCTGCTACCTCTTCTCGCACAAGGTCAAATTGCCAGAGTGGGGTTTCGAGCAGCAAGAAGTTACGTGCAACACCAATGCGGTCATGGCCAACTCGTTGTGGTATGTTGAGACTGCGACACACCCAAATCGTCAGTTTTGTTTTTGCTCGTAGTGAATTCGCTGATGTTTTTAATAGTTCCCGACGACGCACCGAAGGTCAACTACAAACTTCCTGGATTCATGGGCAAGTTCCTCGAACTCCAACAAGTGATGTGGACGACGAACGCTGGATTAACCGATCGACACACATATGACTCCAGACCGGATGCCTGGCCTCGCCTTCGTCGCGGAATTGTAAGACCAGTAGTCATTTTCTGTGCGTCAGCTAACATATCTGTAGAACTTCTGGGTCAAAGACCACACTCAAGTCTATTTGATCGGCAATGCTATGGTTTGGTGGCTCAGCTCACTTGCCGTGCTGAGTTACGTCGCTGCCCGTGGATTCCTCATTCTCCGTGCAAAGCGTGGTTATCGTGACTTTGACAACAGTGCGTTCATTTTGAACTTGTTGCTCCATCTCTGACTTTTTCGTAGCCAAGGTGGTCAAGTACGATTCGATCTGCGGGTTCCTCTTTATGGGATGGTTCTTACATTACTTCCCCTTCTGGCTTATGGGCCGCCAGCTCTTCCTGCATCACTACTTCCCCGCGCTCTATTTTGGCGTCTTGCTTTTCGCGAGTGTGTTCGACCTTGCTACTTCAACGTTGCGACCACGCGTGCGACTTCAAATCGCGGCAGTTCTTATTATCCTTGCCATTTGGAACTTTTCTCATTTTAGCCCGCTTGCCTACGGCACCCAGTGGACGAAGAGCAAGTGTAATAGCGCCAAATGGCTCAAGACGTGGGACTTTTCGTGCAATGACTTCCACGATAATGTGTGTTTTAAATGTTCACGGTTTATCCCCTCGCTTACTTTACGTCTAGTACTCCGACTACACCCCCGGGATGGCGGCAGCGACTCCACATAAACCACCAGTCGCGGTCGTGACCAATCTTGACGAGAAGACGTCCGCATTTGTCGTCAAACCGGAGCCAGGGCGAGATATTTTTGCCGGTGAAGGTCAAGACTCGGTGAAGAGCAGGGCACCACCGCCACCACATCCAGCTGACGAGCATGTCGTGACGAAGGACGGAGAATCAGACTTGGAATCCCAATCTTCATCATCATCATCATCTTCGTCGTCGTCACAGAAGGCTGCATCTTCATCACAGTCATCTGGGTCGAGTAGCTCTTCGAGTTTGGTGTCCGACAAGGGAGACCATGAAGCAAAAGCGGGCAAGCTGGCTGGTCCGTTAGGAGAAGCGGAAGCGGAGGCGGAGAAGGTTGCGCATGAGCTGTACCCCGATGCGGACTAGAAAAAGTACCTACGTTGTAATTTATGAGTATAGGCTTTGTGTGCGTAATTTTATATCTCTTTGGACTTCATCGTCGACTTCTTCCGCGATTAGGTAAGAATACCGACAATTGCTCTTTTAGGCACAAAATCAGTCAAAAAGCAAATAAATCTACAATTTGAAAATTATTCGTTTTTCTACGATTATTCATGAACGTACATTGCTCTCTTATGTCGCCTCCGACCCAGACGTCGCAATGTCTCCAGAGTCCTGACCGAGCGGACGCTGAAGAGGACCTGACAGGAGGAGTCAACGAATTGTCACACGTAACCGCGACGCTGACACGTTTTTCTTCTTCCTTCGACTTTCTAGTGGGTTTCGATCGCAACACGTCTTACTTCTTTTCCTGCCTTGTCGGTCTTTTATATGCGCAACACTTAGGCAACCTTGGGAGCAATGGACCGTGAACACCCAATCGACGTGGACGCGGCTGCGAATTCAATTCCCGAGCAACAGCCGGCCCGCTCGGAGGATCGCCCCAGATTCACTCTTCGCATACCGAAATCTGTGCTGGAATACCGCAAGGCCGGACTGAACTTTGACTATGATCTTGTGACGCCAGAGGCGGTTGCGCGAGAGACTGCCCACCTTCACGAGGAGATCCAGAGGCTCAAGAAAGAGTTGGGGCGGTCGCAGAGCGTGGAAAAGGCGCTGAAGAAGGAGCTTGATTTGGCGCACGAACAGAACTCGCATCTCAGTCTAAAGCTGATTCAAGTGGATGCCTTCGCCAAAGCAAATGCGAATGAAGTAACAAACCTCCAGCACAAACTTGACGCGCGAACAAAGGAGCTTCATCATGCTCGGCAGCACACGATATTGTCCTCGAACCGTTTGCCCGACTCGCATGCGGAAGTAAGTTTGGTCGGTTTGAGGTAACGCCTACTGACAACATTTTAGGCTTCTGTTCCACTACCGCAAGCTGAAGAAGTTCACAGCGATTCTCCTAATATCCCTCCACCCATGTCAAAGTCTGTTTCTCCGGTATCCTCGAACTCGCGGTCTCCTCCCATACCGCCTACGTCAGCTCCTGCGATCATTACTGCCTCTTCAACTCGGCCTATTGCTGCGAGTAATTCGCTGAGCTTAGCGGGACCATCTCATGTTGTCCCGGGTCACAAACCGAAACGGAGTCTGGATGCTACTCGGCCACTGCCTTGGACCTCGCGGTCTCCTCCCATACCGCCTGTGTCAGCTCCTGCGATCACTACTGCCTCATCAACTCGACCTATTGCTACTTCTTCGAGCATAGGGCAGCCATCTGATATTGTGCCTAGTCACAAACGAAAGCGGAGTCTGGAACACACGCAGCCACCGTCTGTTGTCAACCCGCCCATGCCCTCCTTTACGACCCCGCCGATTATACTACCACGGCGAACTCAGTCTCATGATGCTGGGGTGCCATCCCACCGGCCAGTCGTCACCAACTGGAACTCCTCATTCCAACCCCCACCAGCCCCACCGATACGGCGGGCTCTCGGCATCAAGCATTTGTCACTCCTTTACCAGACGCACAACGAAAAGATGGCCTGCCGCACGTGCAAAAAGAAGTTTCCTGTGTCTGCTCCGTGGACGGACCTTGTTGGCCATGCGAGAGAAGCGCACAAGGAAGTGTGTGAAGAAATCGAGGCGCTGAATCCGTCGCAGGTCGTGGAGCGCGCTCATCGGTTGTCTCTACCGATTGTGCCAGCGCCGGGGAAGAAGGCAAGGACATGATAGTGTTTCTCTCTTGAAAAGTCTTACTGTATGTCTTGGATTTTTGTGTAGCAGATGTGTATTGATAATATTCTCCTTGTACTACAAGCAAATTAACAGTCAACAATGAGTTCAACTTTGGAGAAACCCTCTGCCATCAATGTGACGTCCTTGCTGTCACACTTTCACTTGGAACAAACTTTGAACCCGAAAAAAATCCAGAACATTTGACGCTGACCATTCTTTCCTAAGCCGACTACGACGGAAATCGTGCCACCAAGCCACAGGCACATAATCCTCTTTACATTCCAACATGCTGCTTAAACCCCGATTCGTCGGTCTTTCTTGTCTGCAAGTCAGCAATTTCGATCTCAGTCTGACTCTCAATATCCGCCCGAAGAAGCACGAGTTTAGCGGGGAAGATATAAAATGGCCCAGTATTCCTTCACAAACTCACAATGTCTTTCATCGACGCACCAATCCCCGCAGCGACAAAACTCGCGCATTACAGGACCCTTTCCCCCAATGCGGGGATCCATGTCTCGCCGCTCCAGCTCGGCGCCATGAGTGTAGGCGACAAGTGGGAGCAGCTTGGTCTGGGGTCGATGAACAAGGAGTCGAGCTTCAAGTTACTTGACGCATTTGTTGAGAACGGTGGCAATTTTATTGATACTGCGAATGGCTAGTGAGTCTTGCAGCTTCAAGTTGTTTTGGTCTAGGTATAACCGTCCTTTACAGCCAGGACGAATCGTCTGAGGAGTTTCTTGGGGAGTGGATGGAGCAGCGCAACATCCGCGACCAGGTGGTCATCGCAACCAAGGCGACTATTAGTTTTCTTTTGAGTCGATAATTGAGTCTCATCTCACGCAGTATACTTCAAACTACAAGATTCGCAAGGCCGGGTATCTTAACAAGGCCAATTTCGTAGGCAACAATGTCAAGTCGATGAATCTTAGCGTGGACGCCAGTCTCAAGAAGCTTCGCACCTCGTATATCGACATCCTCTATGTGCACTGGTGGGACTGGGAGACGAGCATCGAGGAGGTCATGAACGGCTTGCACAACCTCGTCGTCCAGGGCAAGGTCCTCTACCTGGGAATTTCGGATGCCCCAGCCTGGGTTGTCGCAGAGGCCAACCGCTATGCAAAGGAGAAGGGCAAGTCGCCGTTCGTCATCTACCAAGGCCGCTGGAACATTCTCGAGCGGTCTTTCGAGCGTGAAATCATCCCGATGGCTCGTGCTCACGGTATGTTTTCTGTCCTTTTCCCGTTGTCGAGTGAATAATGGTGTCAAATTAGGCATGGCGCTTGCTCCGTGGGACGTCTTAGGCGGAGGAAGGCTGAGAACTGACGCGCAGGATCAAGTGCGTCGGAATACTGGTGAGAAAGGCCGCATGACTCAGATGGGCGGATTTGACTGGGAGCGCAACGAAAACGAGGTCAAAATATCTCAGGCACTCGAGAAGGTTGCTGAAGAAGTCGGCGCCAAGTCTATTCAAGCTGGTATGTGGCTCTCCGCTATCGAAACCGAACTCGCTCAATAGCCCACAGTCGCCATCGCCTACGTTATGCAAAAGACGCCTTACTGTTTCCCCATCATCGGCGGACGCAAAATCGAGCACCTTCTCGCCAACGTGGAAGCGCTGGACATCTCCCTCTCGCCCAAACAGATCGAATATCTGGAAAGCATCATCCCCTTCGAGCCGGGATTCCCCGCGAATATGATTGTGCGTGTATGAGTTTGGCTTGGTTGACTGATTTGAACTTGCCCGACAGGGTGATACTACCAAACCAGGCTTCATCCATTCTTTCATCATGGACAGTGCTGGGGTACTCGTGCGCTCGCCTCACGTTGAGCCTCTTCGCCCTTAGGGCTGACTCAAAGGGTCAACAAATGATGGAAACGTAACAATCCGCTGTTTTGCACAGCGCAATCTGGGCTCAATGTACAACGGTCTGGTTACTCGACATTCCTCGTAGTTATTCCGAGACTCTAAATCCATACGTCTAGTAGACCCTTTATTGACACGTGATCATCCGCAAACCTGCTGCTCTTCACCTGAGAGTTCTGATGTACAGTTCAACGTCCAAAATGATTGATATTCGAAAGACCGCTGAACTCTGCAGCAAACATGTCAGAAATGGCACATCAGACTCGTAGGGAAAGCCCACCACAAATCGATACGCTAGATATGCACTCAAACCGGACCCGACACAGTCCGTGCTCTTCGCGTCTCCGCTTCGCCATCCATCACCCGCAGATGTATTGAAGCCCGTTGCAGACCCAGCGCCACGTTGGCAGAAGAAGTGCGGTGATGGCCGGAGGTGTCCCACAGTCCCAACATAGCAGAGTTTGAGCCACCTTGAGCAAAAGATTTGGCCAAATCAGCTAGAGCGATCTTCACCAATGGGGGCAACTTGCTTGTTGAGGGTGCGAAAGGGTCGACTGGCGGCGTTGCGGGAGGCGTTGCTTGGGGAGTCGGCTGAGAAGCAGCTTCTTCGTTGTCGTTGATTGACGAGTCTTCAGATGGGACGGCCCGCCGCTTTCCGAGAGCTTTGGCAGAAGGTTGGCTATTTGCAGGAGATGGAGATGGGGCTGGAGACAATGGTCTTGGCCTTTTTCCAGCGATGAAGACAGTAGCAGGGCCTTGAGGAGATTCAAACAACGCATCTTGTGTTTGAGTGACTGGAGGTGGGTGGTCGACAGGAGGCGGTAGGTTTGGAGAGTGGTATTGTCGAATGCCTTGACCGAATCGAATGAACGAATGAGAGCCGGGTGGGGTGAATGAAGTGGAAGATCGAGCGAAGTCGGCAGGAGGGGCAGGAACAACAAGTTCTTCGTGTTGACATCAGCTCAAATCAACTCCCAGTTAGAGGAACATACCAGGAACGGATCCACCAATGTTTACGCGCGGGTTGAACTCATCCACCACCTCTACCCCTTCGCCGAGCCAGTCATAGATCCAGTTGTACATCCACTCGTCATCATCGTCGTCATCATCGAAGGCCTCGAGTTCCTCATTAAAGAAATCATTCGCTGAGAAATATTAGATGGGTAAATTTTGAAATGCGGTTTACCTTCCGCCACCTCAGCTGCGACGGCAAAGTCTTGTGGCTGAACGTCGTTCAGGATGGTCGGACGGCGGTTGACGAGATCCTCAATATCGATCTCTTGCGAGTCCCCTGGAAAAACATAAGCCCATTGAACGAGCATCAAGCAAAACTGTTCACCCTCAGGAACCCCATCCAAATCGAGTTCGAACAAATTACCCAGCAACTCGTCATCATTGCCACCAAAGATGTCTGGACCGGCCAATCAAAGAAGACACAGTTTGAAAAACAAAAACACCCACCAAACGCGAGAATGGCTTTCTCAGCGAGACGCAAATGCCTCATTGCCTCCTGGAGGTGATCACCCACTACAAGTTCCTCCTGTCGCACCCTGAACAAATCCCGAGGCAACCACAGATCGTCATTGTTACTTGCAAAAACATCTAGGCTCGAAAATGAAAGGCGGTACAGTCTGTGAAAGAAACTCACCACATGCAAGCATAAGCTTTTCAAGGAAGCGCAAATGTTTCATCATGTCTAGAAATTCGTCGCTATGGTCCTCGCCGACATCTAAGGAACGGAATAAATCACGAGAAATGACAACGGTGCATAGAGGCAGACGCACCTTCAGGACGCTCATCTCCTGCCCCACCTTGACCGACATCTGCTTGTTGTGGCGCAGCCCCTTCAAGTTCACCAACATCTTGGATTTGTTTAGAATAGACACAAATAGCAGTCGATGTCACTACCTCGAGCGGCGGGGAGGTTGTCGATGCCAATGTCCACTACCATGTCGTGTCAGTATATTGCAACGACCAGTCAGAGTAGCGTACCACCAGCGCCGTGATCTTGCGGGGCTACTTCGAGCTCTTGTAGCTCCTGGTCGATTGGCTCCCCAGCAACGTTGAGCCATACTGAAGCCTTGAGTAAGAAGAACGTGAAAATGGAGGTAGGGAAAGAAACTGACAGTTGCCATCAAAAGCACGTGGTTCAGCTTGCTCAGCACCTTCACCTCGGAAAACAACAAGTTGGTCGTCGCGCCCGAGTCCTAATCACTCAAGTCACAGACGCCTCTACCGCCGACACAATGACGCACCATTTAGCACCCAGTCTACTGGATCCTCCATACCAATTCGCCCATCGTGGTCTTCAGCAAGACCGTCCAGATCAAACTCGCGGAAGTGAACTTCAACACCAACATCTGGGTTAGGCAAAGGAAAATGTTCTCGCCGGATAAGCTGCCAAACCGCAAATATCAATGTCTCAAACCAGTTCAGCAGGACCCATTCAAACAACGGCGCCAATCGACGGAGAGTGGGGTAGACAGCCCAGCAAAGGCCAGCAAGAGTACCGGCTGTGATGCAAGCAAGAAGGAGCCACCAGGTCGCATGAATACTGACACCTATGTAGCCCTCGGGAGTTGGAAGCCGCTCGGCAGCAAAAAGGACAAGACGGTCGAGAATCCAAGTGATATCGAAGACAGTGGCGAGCGAGTTGATGGGGTGCTCGGGGGTATTGTCTGCAAGATCTGCGTCGTCCTTCACGTCCGAGATTTCGTCGACACTAGCAGGGAGCGATGAGTTTGTAGCGAAAGAACTATGGCCTGTTGCATTCGAAGGCGGCTCGCGAGTTGCTAGGCCTGTGAGCAGCTTGATATGCCTTGCCGCTTCTTGGTGTCGTTGAAGGACTGCTCTGTAGTCCTCCAATGTTGGGAGCTCAAGGGTAGACGACGTTTGCGGGCCATGGGCGAGGGTAGCCAAAAGCGAAAGGACGAGAATTAAGGGAACGAAAAACATCGCTGCATTACAATCAGCTTACAGTGGTCTGTTCAAAGAAATGGTATACGCACCAGAAGTCAATTCCTTGAAGCGACGAGAAGAGGCAGCCCGAGAACTTGAAGAACGCAGCCGCCAAGCAGAATTTTGAGCAAGTAAGTCTCGCCGAGTGGGAAGAAGAACGCTGGACGGCCCTGAGATATTTGAAAGCAATAAGAGTTGTAGCCCGTAGTGGAAACAATGAAGGAAGAGAGAGGAGCGCGTCGTTGCACGTGATGGCGGAAGGACATCATCCGTGACTTCAAGATCAGTCACGTCACATCGTCTTGTCTTAGCCCACCATGCCCTCGATTCCGCCATCCGTTGGCCAATTGCTTATAAAACTCGTTCTCCCCGTTCAAGTGTTCCTACTGAGTGTCAAACTCACTCGCATCTTGAGCTTCAACACCGAGAAGAGCAGGGATGTGGTGTCACTCATCCATCGTGACTTGCCTACCAAAACGTCGGCTTGGGAGCTTCCAACACCATGCTCACCCACAATCTCCGATCCGTCCGCCCTTGGCACTTACTTGGTAGTCCTTGCACTACTGGTCGGTGGCTTGGCTCCAATCCTCTTCCACACCAGAAGTTTGAAGCGATTGTGTGTGGCGTTAGTTTGGGTCATGCTGTCTGGCTCCACAATAGCCTTGCGATTCATCTCCCCTTCCTTCCATCTTCATCACATTGTCCAGCCCCTCCTATTTGGATTCAGTCTGGCTTCCCAGTCATCCAATGCCTGGACAAATCTTGGAGCCGTTGGCGCCCGCGCGTTTGACCGCCCAGTCCCGGTCAAGCACATAACCCTTTTCGTTGCCAGTCATCTGGTGTGGATAGGCATAATTCGACGATTCCATCGTCTGCAAACGGAGTTTTTTAAAAACCCGATAATAAGATTTGCCTTGTGTATGATGTTCGCACCACCAGTTCTGTTCTTCGCCTTTTGGCCAGACACCAGGCGGTCTGTGTGGTTGATTTTATTCAGCGTCACGCAGCCACTATCGAGGTCACCACATGCCGTCCTCTTGCACAATCTGGTTGAATGCCTGACTTCCTGGATGGACGCCAATACTCTTATGGTACAGTGGTGCTTTACTGACACTGTGTTCATACTAATTACGCTCTCTAGTTTGCGCTGGGGCCGGGTATTGTCCATGGATTCTGCGCATGCTTTTCCGTTGTCACATCAATTGCGACAGCCACACTTCCGCCCGCCTATCTGTTCACCGAAGACCTTGCACGACTCTGCTACATTTTGCGCGTTTTTTTCTTCTATCGCCTGATGCAACTCGTACTGCTTATCACGATTGCTGTTTACTACATGGGTGTATGGCTGGGCGTAGGAGATTTCTTTTCGTACAATGTGCTGATACTACTCGGGACTTCCTTTCGTTTCTATGGTGTCTCGCCGCTGGAGCAACACATGTTCTCAGAGTTCCTCGAAGCCAACAATGCATGGCTGTCACGACAAAACGACCGGATCTCTCCGCTCCTTCAAAACTTCCAGCGTGGCGTTATCGAGCTAGTCGTCCACCGACAGGCTCCTTGGTGGCAGTTGATGGTGAGTTTGTTGCTGCCCGACTTGGGAACTTTGAGTTTATCCGCACAACAGTTGATCTATTCCCCTCCAATCGTCTTTTACATCTACTTTGACCTGGTGAGTCGCGTCATAGTACCTTTCCGCCCAGATAACTCAACACTACCAACAGCTTCCATGGTGGCGAACATGGTGCAGGTATTTCCGTCATTTGAGGAAACTCTACCGATGGCAAGTGGTTCGAGTTTCCGTTGTTCCTTCGGTCTGACACCCCCACAGACGAGCTATCCTCGCAAGCGTGCAACGCCATTTGCATCGGGGACGCCCAGCAGGTGATTGCCCTTGTGTGCCACTCTTGATGATACAAAAAACGGGCAACACGTTCAAATCACAACGCGTTCTAGCGTTTGACGTTCTGCTTCGCTCGTCGAGAAACCATATCAGCAGCATTCAAGCGAGAAGCGGGAAACCGACCCTTGAATTCGCGCAATCACACCGTGACTACTTCGCCCATTTGGCGACTACTTATGACGACCATGCGACTTTGGAGCTACGGACACTCTGTCACCTGCATTCCAGCTTATGGACGCCATATTCTGACTTGATCGAGAATCCGAGCTGACAAACTTAACGTCAGCCTCGACCGTCAACTCACCAACCCAGCACCTTTCGAGCAAGAATCGGACCCGACCCTCGAAACCCGCAGCAAGTCTTGACCGAGAATCGAATCTGACGAACGACGGCCTTTTGAGCCCCGCGATCAGCTTTCGACCGTCAACTCAGATTTCAAGAGAGAATCGAATTCCGACCCTCGAGTTGCGACCATTACGACCTGCGAGCCTTGATTGAGAATCGGATCTGACGAACGACGGCACATTTCCAGCCCCGCGATCAGCTTTCGAGCGAGAATCGAGTCCCGACCCTCGAAAATTGCAACCATTACCACCAGCAAGCCTTGATTGAGAATCGGATCTGACGAACGACGGCACAACCCCCCGCCCCGCGATCAGCTTTCGACCGTCAAGACTTCAACAACTTGGAGTCAAGTGATTGAGGAAGGTCCGTTTCGAATTTCATCGTTTGCGCCGAGTTTGTTCTGAGGCTTTTGCAGATTTGATTGAGAATCGGACAAGTTGACAACAATTGTTGTCGTCCGACCGTCAAGTCTATCCAAGTCTTATGAGAATTGGGATACCTCCGTGTACTTCCAACCGCCGAGACTTGTCACTTTTCTTGTTGACTTGGAATTGCGGAGTCACCAGTGGTGCTCCGCGATTCACAACGCCATGCTTCTATTATAGATACCCGTACTAGTAGTTATTTTTCTGTCCCTTCTTTTCAATGAATTTACAATTCCTTTCACTCATCGATTCTTCTGGAGACTTGCCTGGCCTCACTAATTTGTCAGCTTATCTTCGAACGATTGTACAGTAGTCACTCTCCGACCAACCATTATCTTCCTCTTTTGTGTGGACAGTAACAAATTTGCACACCACTTTCGTCATGGAAAGTGCTGGGGTACATAATGATACTCGTGCGCTTGCCTCACGTTGAGCCACGTGTGGTCACTGTCACAGGTTTGTCAGCGAACGTTTGTCAGCGATGCAGCAAACTTCAAAAACCGCGATTTCACCCAGGACAAAGCACAAATTAACAGTAAAGAATTGTAGATAGTAATGCAGTAGAGTACTTAGTATTAGAGATTGTAGCCTTTCATATCAATGCAGGCTCGTTTGCTACTATATTCGTAGCAAAAGCTTACGAGTCGTTCCTAGAATATCCACCCATAGGATATGATTCCCATAAAAAGCCCTAATAATATACCCGACGCACTCATGTGAGCTGATCTCGCAGCTGCACTTGGTGGTCGACTTGTTCCGGCAAGTTCGTGGTCGGCAAATCAATTACCATTCGAGGTGGCCAACGCGGCAAGGTTCATGGTTGCTGTAGACATCAAAACAACCTGAGTTGATTGAGCGGCGAGCCGCAAATCACGCACCAGTATTCCTCAGTTTTGTTCTTGCGGTAGTCGCAAATGTTGTGCTCACTTTACCCGAGCTCTCCGTCTCCGCGTCCTCCGACAAAAACACAAGGGCGAAGCCCGGGGCCGGCACATTAACCGTGCAAGTTCTGGACTCTGAATCGCACGCGACCGTCTTGATATCCTTTTCGCCCATCGGTCGTCCGTTGCTCTCGAAAAAGGAACCAAATGTCTGCCCCGCCCAAGTGTAGTTTCCCTTCTGTACGACCGACGATGCAGCAAGATATTTGACCCTGACGCTTGACGGTGTAGTCTTCGTTCCGTCTCGGTTGGCAAGGCTAATGACGGCGTCCACATCGTGAGCGCCGTTGGGATCATCCATATAGTTGACAATGGCGACCCTTTTTGGAACGCCGTTCTCGTAGATGCCGTAGACGGGGGTGAACTCGGAAATGCCCGGGATAGGAAGGTCGAGCTCTTGAGAGTTGTTGCTGGGTCCCAAAGCCTCCACCATTATCAGGGCAGAGTAGTATATCTTCGTGTAGTGAATTAGTGAACAATTGGGAGTAGTGGTGTTGCTACATACCGGGCCGACAGACCAGCGGTGGAAGAAACTCTCGTTCATTGGTGGAGATGTAAACGGCTACATAGTAGTCATTGGTTGAGACGTAGTATACAATGGAAAGCAACTCACGTTATAATAGACGTTCTGTCCACCCACATGGAACATCGCGCCGGAAAAGTTGGAGTGGGCTAGTTGCAATGAGTAGTCGATGCCCCACAGCGCAGCGGTAAACGAGTCCGAGACCCCAGGAAAGCCGCCGCACGAGGCAGTATTCGTCTCAAACATCAGGAACGGCTTCTTCTTGGCTTGCGCATATCTGGTGGTGTTGAGGTACGGCTGGAGGAACTGTAGAATGGCCGTGTGGTTGAGATAAGTATGAAGAACATTTTGAGGAGGGATCGCTTGGGCAAGATTACCGAATCTGGCCTTAATTTGGCGTTAGCCAAATAATGACGATGTAGGAAGAGGCCAACCTGGCAGTTGTCATTCGGATACCTGGCGACAACGGTGAGGGGCGTGTGGAAAAGATCATGAAGATGTACTTCTCAGCAGCTAAGAACGCCAGGTTCGCGCTGTACTTGTCGACAAAACCAGTGTTCCACACCTGCTCAAGCGACCAATTGAACGATGTGGTACTTGGGCCAATGAGAAGCTTCCGCGCGCGACCAGTTGGGTCCGCGCCAAAGACGATTTGGCTGAGCAAGTCGGAGAATTCCCCGAGGTAGTCGTATGGCCCGTAGGTTGCTGGCCGATGATCATGGAGGTAGTACATGTCGGGCTCGTTGCCTGCTTGAATGCCCAAGAGATAGTCCCCAAGGATGTTATTGGCGGCGGGAACAATCGATAAGTCGAACGGTTGGGTTTCAAACCAGGGAATACCGGCGAACCAATGGACGTTGACGAAATTAGAGATGTTTCGCATAAGGTAGATGAGATCGAGAGTATACTCGAGTGGAGGGGTCTTTGTTGTGCCCGTGACGTTTTCGAGGTCTTTGGAGAGAATGCGGCCATTGGGAAGACTGTCGACCAACTTCGCGCTTTCTTGTGTGTTCCCTCCTACTCGAACCATGACGGAACCGGCGCGTTGTTGGATGTTGGCCATGAGATTGAGGAAGGGCACTTGTATTAGTGTCGAGTTACTGCCCACTAAAATTGGTGAGCTTCTCCCAGTCGGAGACCTGGGACGACTCACAGACTTGGTTGCAGACGGACATCTCGATGCTGAACCCAATAAACGATCCTTTCTGCTTAATCGAGAGACCGGCGGTGCCTGAATTCTGGGCAAAAGCGTCAAGCGAGACCAGCGGAGACGAAGGAAACTCACCTGGAGTTTGACAGGAATACTGGTCATAACATTCGTTGGTGCAGGAGGAGGAATGAGTGTGGCCGGATCGTATGCTGGGAGGCCAACGTGTGTTGCTTGGGCGCTGTAGACAGTAATGGCACCCAACACGCAGTGAGGAACCACGGAAAGTATGAGAGCGAGATGCGGAAGACCCATGAAGAAAAGAGAAAGGATTGCGAAGATCGAGTCGACATGGAGGCAATTTGTGCGGAAATTGTACGTTATTCCCCCATTCTTCGTTTCAAGGACAGTAACTTTTTTGAGCAAGAGGCATCGACAAACTTTCTTGAAAACCCATTTCCCCGGCGGACTTAGCAACCCGTGTTCTCGATTTTGGCGAAGTCGGAAGCACCAGCAGAACGGTCATGATGTGGTTGCTTCGAGTTGCTGAACCAGTTCTGAACTGGTCCGAGTTTGCTCGCGGTAACTCGACTTCTGGCAGTCACGGTGGGTCCCATCATCGTGGCGCCGATCACCACATTTGGTTGCCAAAACAGTGTAAAAGCGGCGGAGGCGAAAGCATGGTATGTTGTTGTTGTTACAAAGCGCCAACTTGCATTCCCCTTTGTGTCATCAAGTTGGAGCGACAGCAGCTTCGTCGCTGTTGCCAATTCTTTTTTAGCACCGAGATCCTCTCGAAGAGCCGCGGAACCAGCCCTAGCCTAGCAACCCGAGTAAGATACGGAGGAAAAGGCTGGACGATTTGAATTCACGTTTTGTTGGCGGACTAATGTCCTCTCCCTCCATTGCACGACCTGAAAGTTGAACGGGAGTCGCCAGTCGGCAACATCCCCAGGCAGACCGGTGGCTGCTAGCGAGTTTTGTAGTTTTTGGGGAGGGCGATATGCACTCAAGTGTACACAAAGATGAGAAGGAGCAAGACAGGATTTTTGCTGGATGTCGTTGGCATTCACAATGACTCAGCCGTGACATGGCCGTGACGGCCGCCGTTACGGGTCAACGGGTGCAACAGCACATTTGGTCCCGGCGTGCCGTCGGCCGGGAGCTCTAGGCTCGTCGATGTAGTACGGGCCGTAGGGCCCGTCAATCCACTTGCGTAGGAGCTTGGTTTAAGGGCTTACCCGATGGCACGATCTAGCCCTCTTCAGATTCTTGTGACCAACCGCATCTGTATCTACTTAACTTGACAACCGTACCTTCTTTTGGCCTTCTTATTAAGTACTCTCTCAGCTTTCGACTCTTTACGACTTCTACATCGGATTTCGAATTTCTGTTAAGCTCAAGAGTACCGTCCATGCATCCTCTTCCAACCTTGCACCGCGCCAGTGCATACTTACTTCAGCTTCTCGAACACCGAGCATGTGGCAGCATTGTGGCTTCACGTTAGTAATAATTGCTAATGCCTCTCAAAGTAAGTAGCATCCGGACTAGTAAAGCTCCGTCGTTTGCGCGGATTCAGACGTACTTATCCGGATATATAAATCCAGAGCGACCACCTTCACCCCCCACGGGTCAGCAACTGAAAGCTCTCTCAAAGTTACATATGCGCTGGCTGGGATTTTTCACCATCACCTCCCTTCTTTCACTGGCCGCCGCTGCCCCGACTGTGACAGAAGTTTGGTCCTTTTTTCGCCACCCACCATGGGCCTGACCGCTCTCTGAATCAGACAGCTCAAAACGCAACCAAACAGCCCAATGTCCGTATCCAAGTTTAATCCATTCGAAGTTAATGAGAGTCTAGTTCACCTACGTCGTACTCTACAACAACGCCGCTCAAGGGGCCGCTTTTCGAACCGGGGAGCTCTACTTCAAACCTGGTGCGGATGCCTACCTCTACCCAATCCAACTCCTGCCGGGTTACGACAACCTTCCTGGACACAGCATTGTGGTAAATCAACTTGAACTCAAAAAGTTTCGATTCGTCTCTCTGACTCCCCGCAGTGGCAGATGTATAAGCATGGATCCGCCCCCGGAGAATACACCTTTGTCAACAAGGACAGAGGCGACAATCTGCTTTATAGTCCAGGCAGCGTAAACCCTTCGTTTTATCATCACTGTCGACAGAGCTGACGAGGCAGTTGAATCTTGTCACCTCCTATGGAAGAGGCCCTACCGTATTCGAACTCCAGCCCGCGGAGGATGGAACCTATTTGGTCTGTCGAAGTCTACTCTCCTTATATTTCCTCGCTCATCATTCTGCCTCCGTAGATAAAAATCCCAAATCAGGATGCAGTCGCTCAAGCACTTGTCGACACACCCAAGGACTACACAAAAGACCCGGTGGATGTCAGTCCTCTGGCCTGGCTGAAATGACCCCTTAGACTGATATATCTAGATTCATTTCAGCCCACAGAACGGAAGCCCTTACCAACGTTGGACGATTGGGAAAATGGTTGGAGATAGTGATTGGGAGTGGGAGCCCTGGAACCCTTGAGCGCAATCTTCAAGCCTTAATTGCAAATCCTAGTGTTGTCAATTATCCTGCGCTATTAAACCCATGCTACATATGCCATGCTGACCATGATACAAACACACACAAAACCAAGTCCGATAGTGGATAACAATGAGGAGGGATAAGGCCGCAAGCGGCAGGTGCCGAACCTTACATAATAAGCCAGGGAAGACCGTGGCCAGCACCACGTGATATGACGTGGCTCGTCCCAAAAGGGTTATAGAAATGCACAGCCATTCCCGATATGGGGGGGCTGGTTTCAACATGATTCTATAGAGCCAAACCTTAGGTTCGGCAATAAAGCTCAAATCAATGCCAGGTCGACGTAAAAGTCGCGCGAAATTCCCAACAACCGCTCCTGCTCAGCCGCCCACTGCGACTGCACCTCCGTCTTGGCCTTCTGTCGCACATCGTGTCGAATAGACTTGACAGTCACTTTGAACGCCGCTGAAACAGGCCGATGGTCGGACACTCTCGCCTCGTACCGCCGATAATGCAGTTGCTGCACCCGATTTGGCGTCCTAGTCCGCCATAGAACACGGTCACACCACGCTGGGGCCCGCGCCTTGTCAGACGTGTCGTAGATGTCAGAATTCCGGTCGTATTTGTACGTCGGCGCAAAGTTCAGTGGCCCTTCCGAGAACCCGCGTAGTCTGCAACCCCGGTTGAACTTGATCTCCTTCAACAATTGGTCGTGCGCCAACAGACTCTCCAGCTCGCCCGACTTGACAGCAGCAGCGATAACTTCCCGCCGTTGGTCGATCCGGTAGTTCATATCCCCATTCAGCTGTGAATAACGTTCATTAGCGCCACTACAAACCTCTCGTGAATCGCACTTACAAACACAATCTCGTGGTCTAGCGCCATCTGTCCATCTCCTCCACCCACATAAGCAAGCAGGTCCTCCTGGCTCGGAGGTAAAAGTGACTGCTCTTCCAACATCGCCGCTACATCCGCATTACGCGCCCGTGTCGCATGCTGACCTGCAGCAAGATGACAATTAATAAAACATAACGACGAGTCCTCGATTACTAAGCGGGTAATAATGCCACCCTGTCCACCAATTTAGAGCCTTGTGAATAGAAAGCATGAGGGGAATATACCTTGTTCCCGTACCTCCCTCCCATCCCCCGCTTCATGGACGTGATAACGTTGTCCTTGATCGACATACGTTCCGAGTGCTTGACAAACACACAGGTGAACAGCCCGACGAGACTCTCCGTGTGAATCACAGTATAAGGCACGTTTGTCGGCATCGCCAGTCGGACCGCCATGATAAGATGCTCGTACCACTTGCGGTAGGCAGTCGTGACCTTCTCAGACAAGCCCGATAACCCAGTGATCTGGGCAATCGACGCGTCCTGCTTGTCCTTTCTTCCCAACAAAACATTCTTCGCAACCAGCTTGCGACTCTCCAAATCGACGAGCTCCTGGAAGCCAAAGGTGATGATGTCAGGGCAGTCGACGCTGGTGAGTGCTTCATGGAGGAAATTGATGTTGACAGGGTCTCCCGACAACGACTCCGGTCGAGCAGAATCGCAGTTCCACGAGATGATTAAAACGCTGAGGTCCCTGAACTTGCTGAACGACGCTTCGCGCTTCAAGAGTTCCTTATCTGTCCCCATGTGAGTAGACGGGAATGAAAGTCAATAGCATCACATACCAACCCAGTCCAAACCCAACAAACCATCCCAAAGCTTCAGTTGTTCGTCCCTGCCCACACTAGCAACAGACAGCCGGCCCGTCTTCTCGATTCCATAATGGTCAACAGCAAGCATCGTGACAGGGAGCTTTTGATGGGCTTGCCAGCAGTTTGTCGCCAGCCATGGCTTGACCGAAACATCATAAGCGGTAATCATACCGTTCCGTCCTCCAGCCCAGAGTCTATCGTTGACCCCTTCAAGGCAAAGAACATCAGAGGTGGAGACACGAATGACTTCGATGCAACGCGGCCAACCATCTTCCTCTTCCAAGGACCACAACGAGACTGAGCCACCTTCGTGTCCAAGAAAGACAATACCAGGTTTGGAAGGTAGCATTGTTGCATCAGTGACTGCCCCAACTGCCTCTAGCGGCAATACAGAGCGAGCAGGAGCACCCGGGAAAAAAAGATCGAATATTCGGATAGTTTGCAGTCGAGCCCCATGCAATTCCGAGCGACTAGCTGTCCAAAGTTTCCCGCAAATCATCTGGGCAAAATCCTGCTTCTCCGTGATCCGCAAGACGCGTGGCAGCGTAGATGTCAAGTCGATATCTTCATCATTCTCGGAGGGTGTGAAAAGAAGTGTCTTGCCAGCTTCGTCCAGTGTGATCATACTCCGCCCATGTCGGAATATGCGAACAATAGGGTGCAAGTGCGCAGACAGTTTGATTGCGGTGACGCAGCCACTCCTCACATCCACCTCGGCCATATGACCTTCCTTCGTGCCAATCCAAAGCAAACACCCTCGGTTAGCCGGCTCGTGACAAGGACGGTATTCCATGCTCGTTATGCGAAGTTCCTTAATGCCATGGCCATTGCCTACATCACGTTTTTCGAGGGTAAAGATGGGGGTCTCTGAATGTTCAGTGTCGTAAATCTTCAGGTGATGAAGCGTCGCAACAACGATTCTAGTTCCAGAAACTATCACCAGTCCGTGATGAGCCGCGACAGGGATTTTGGGGTCGTTGGGACCCACATAGCCAGCTCTTGAAGACAGATGTGGTGGACGCCGAGAAGAACGGCTACTGTCAGGAAGATCGACTGCCGAAGTACTGTGTGATTCATCTCCAGACTCCTCGTCAGACGACAGATTGGGGGAAGCTGGGCGACGAGCTGGTGGCAACTTCTCTCCAAGGGCAATCGTTCGGGTGGGTGGTGGTGGTAAACGTCCGAACGCTTTGCGTTCTGCAGTAGTTGGGGTGGATGCAGATGATGAAGAGTCAAGATCTGGATTCGGAACAGTAACGGCAGGGCGAGCAGGCAATCGAGGAGGGGGTAAATAACTCGTTGGCTCCTCAACAAGTACCGCTGTGGGCCGCCGGTTCGGTAAAGGGGGCGGGATCATGGTGGCGGAAGATTCGACAAGTTTTGGGGGCGATCGATGTCGAGGCGGTGGTCTAGGAGGGGGTAAACGGGAGACTGTGGTATCGCCTTCGCTTGAAGTCTGACTGGAACTGGTTCGTTGGTGATTGTGCGTAAATGGACGTGGAGGCAACGTGGGTCGGGCGACGGGGGATTCCGGGTCCCCGTCTGAGCTAGACAACGGTTCAGGGGAGCTAACTTCGTCATCCGGGATTTGGTGTATGAGGCGGGGTATGGGAGGTGGGGGACGATGGATGCCCGATAACTCTGGTTCAGAGTGGGTGATCAGCTGGCCGGTCAGACTTGGGCGATTGAGAAGAGGCTTGCTTGAGGATACGGGATCGCTAGCAATGTGTTAAATAAATAACACAGTCAAATTGGCGGTAATTCGACCTACGCAAACACGCTCCTTAGGGAAGAAACACTGGGAAGAGTTGATGTTTCCTCAACGACTGTCGGCTCTTCTTCGTCTTGGGCTGAGACGACAGACGACAGGCTCGACCGATGGCCTAACGCGGGGACAGGCGAGCCGCCTACAACTGGACGAAGTCGGGGTGATGAATTCGGGGTAGAAGCAGGGGTAGGCTTCCCACTTCGTGGTGTAGGCGGAGGAGGGGGCTTCTTTCGTAAATCGGATGAAGAGCTTGAAGACCGTAAATTTGCACTGCCTTCAGCGCGTTCCCCGTTCGGTTGTGAGCCAGAAGTTGCTCGTTGGCGGGGAGCAAAGCCTGGAGAAAGACCTGGTCCTTTTGAGGTCGAGGCAACCGCGAGTTGCTCAAATTTGGACCGAAGATTCTTTACCGCTGGCGGTGGCTCGGTGTCGATGTCAGACATGGCGCCACCACGAAAAGTTTAGTATTGAATGAGGCAATGCGAAAAGAGTGATGGAGGACGCGGAATGAGCGCCAGCTCACACGAACGTCGCCACCGTTCTTCGTGAGGAGCTCGTCGTGGTGGTCGAAGTGAAGAGCAGTCAGGTTTAGAAACGAGGGAGACTCGGACGTCCAAAGTCACGCGTTATTCTTTCGCATCTCGTCCGGATTCCCCGACCACTGACCACGACGCCAAGACCACGACAAACCTGTCCGAGATGTGTGCCAAACCACCGGCAGGCCATTTGAAGCCAATCAATAGGCCCTTGTGCCTTCTTTCACCCTGACATCATGAAGGAGCTCAATGACCGAAAGCAGCCAACCAACCAAGATTCCCGTACGTCTATGACAGGCTGCAAAGTTAGAATCTAATGCAGTTCAGTCGGTACAGAAGAAGCATGGGCTCAGATGTGGTCTGCCTACGTCGCAAGCTGAGAAGTATGACAAGGCGGCATTAGTTGCTGGATGGCGCGCTGATATGAAAGGAATTCTCATCTTTGTGTGTGGTTTCCACCCGTTTTCCTGACTTTTTGACTGACCAGATCAAGCTGGTCTGTTTTCTGCGACCCTGACTGCGTTTATTGTGGAGAGCTTCCGCTCCTTGACTCCCGATCCAACGACTTGTTTCACCAATGCACATTAGTTGGCCTCCCTTTGTAAATCCGAATTGCGGACAAACGAGCCCCGTCCTGCCCTGGTCGGCAATGATTTGGACAGTCTCATACGGCAAAATGAACAATACCTGACATCCCGAGGTCTGGCAACCAGCCAAGCGCAGATAAGCTTGAAAAATGCCAGAAAATCTTTCTCCGAATCTCCGTCGAGAACTCTCCAACTACTTCAGTCTCCATCTGAAACCCGTCGTCCTCTGTGGAATACAAGGACGTCGGTCCAACCTGACATCCTCTGCGCATTTCTATCGGAATCGTCCTGGTTTGAAGCTCAGCCATATCACTTCGATATCATCCTACTGTGGCTATGTTCCTGCCCATACTCTGCCTACCTGCCTCATACCCACTCTACAACTCGTAGTCAGCCGAGCCACCTCCTCGTCAAAGGTGAACCATCTCGACATACATCTCTGCGACACGAATTTGGCTCTTTCTGAAGAGCAATTGGTGACAGACTCTCTCATTACGTATGTCAATCATGAGGCTTTGCTTGAAGTCGTCTGCAACTGTGATCTCGCTCTCGTTTGGGCGCGGGTCACTAGCCGGCTTGGGAGGCGGGATCACCCCGACGAGGTGCTGACGGCTATTTGGGGCCTTTGTCGTCTATTCCTTGATCCACAATTCAAGCAGTCGGATGTCATTCCGCTGCCAACGAAACCTGCCGCATTCCCAGTGCCCCGGCCATCGATGCTGCGCCAGCGCAACCATTTTCTGAAGTCGAATTCATAGCAACCCTGAGCGATACGTCAGGGTCTGCACTTCTCCATCAGCACCCTACAGAGCTGTCGATGCTCTTGCTTATGTCAGAGCGGCCGAGCTCACCCGAATTCGGAATATTAGGGTTTCAGCAACTGCCTGTTGTTGTTGACGCGCTTTCGAGATTAGCTGTCGCTGATGTTGATAGTTCCAATGAGCTTAGTTTACCCAATAACTTGAAGACGCCGTTGTCATTAAAGTAACTGGATACTACTTTTGCGCTATGATCAATCATCCCGTGCCGCCGCGGCTGAAGCCTGATGGCCGCCGTTACTTGCTTTTGAACTCCTCTGCACGACAGTCAGTCTCTCTCGGAAGCTCTTTGGAGGTATCACAAAGCCTTTCCAGTGGATACTTCCTCCGAAATAGATGTGTTGAGAGGTATCCCACCGCGAAATCCATCGTTTGCGACAACTTCCACTGATTTCACTCGATCTTGTCTCGGTTTTGCCCGATAGACGCCATCGTGCAGTATGGGACCACGACGAGCGACGGGAAGAGCTCTGTCGCCTACGGGATCTTGTTCGACAAAACTGCCAACACACGTTCGTGTTTTGCTTCCTTGGCCAAGTTTATAGTAAAGCTTTGGCAGTGGAAGCGTTGAACGGGACATTGCGCGCGGCGAAGAAGCAGAAGAAGGTATAATTTCCATTGCAATTGGTGAAGTCGGCATCATACTTAGTAAGACGTTCATAGGTCGCTTTCGATGCAGAGATCTTGATGATGCCCAAGGACAAGGACGTCCAGGTTGTATGGCTCGGGTGAACTGCGTACAACAATGTATTACAGGGATGCCTAATTATGGTCCGTATGTGCTAAATTTATTGAAAGGTGAACTTGAAGTTCCATGCTTGGTTAGTGCTGCCTTCGACGCAGTTCCAGACTTGGAGCTAGAAAAGGTTGAGCAAGTATTGCGGAAAACAAACAAACACGCACCTGGTTGCCAGATGTCTGCTTGCCGTCTGTGAGGTCAACGCACTGGAGCAAAGTCAGCAATAAACAATACTCAATATAAAACCCACCCAGTCGACGCCAGAAAGCGCGCTGCGAATGGTGTTAAGAGACAACGCCCAGCGGTCTGCAGCGACCTTGGAGGTAGGGCACGTCGCAGCAACGAGTTTGGTGCCAGCAACGATGGGTGTGGATTCGGGGGCGAGGCAAAGGGTCGAGTTGAAGACGCTCAAGTAGCCGTTGGTGCTAGCGGCAGCTGCTTGCCATGTTTGGGCAGCAGAGTTGGCATTGCATGTTGCGGCAACGACGGGGGAGCCAGGGGTGGTGGAGGAAGCGGCGATACAGAGATTAGTGTTCGCTTTAAGGGCGGCTTGGACGCTGAGTAATTCTTAGCACTCATTGCGCAAAAAAGAGACCACAGACGTTGCAGGCTCGTTGAACGGGAGAGGCGACCAGTTCTGGTTTTTGTTTGTCCCGGCAGCGTCACAATCCCATATTTGCACCTGCTTTCCGTCGGTCGAATCGCCATCCGTGAGGTCGACACACTGGAAAAGTGAGTCTCTCGTCATAAGCACTGGTAGCACAAACCTTGTTGTTGTTAGCCCATGTTATGTGGGACGTAACCCAGTCTGATGAAACCCATTGCTGGTCTAGAAGATGTGAATCAAGAGCATTCTGGTCGCATATAGCGCACGCACTGGTGTTTCCAGCAGCGCAGGTCCATATTTGCAGCTTGGCTCCGTTCGCAGTGTTTCCGTTGGTGACATCCAAGCACTAAGGGCAGACTGAGATGAGATTGCAAGAAGAAGGTTTGCGCACCTTGTCACCGAAGATCCTGATTTGACCAGCCTGTTGGGCGCCACCAGTGGTTACCCATTGTTGGGTAGCGGGGAGGGCGCCAGTGCCGCCAGTTCCCAGTATGCATGAGCCAACAACGACTGCTGCCCCGTCTGCGTTGGCGGTGGCTGTAAGACAGCTCTTGTCGTTGTTAACATCGGTTGCGTATACGACAGTCTGGCCAGCGCTAGCGAGGGAAGTTAAGGACAAACGAGATGATAAGTAGTGTTGAAGAAACAGAGACTAACAGAGGGAAAATCGCGTTGACGCGTGCAGCAAGGCAAATGGCGGCAAAGACGAGCCCGGAGAATCGAGAGGACATGATGAAGGTCGTTGCGGGTGAAGGGGTGAGTTTGAGTGGATGAGTTTCGTTGTCAACATGGTCGGGTTTATATACTTTTTTTAGATCACCTAGCCGCGGCCTCTGGAACCGCCTCCCTCGGGCCGCACGTGAACGGGAAGCAAAAACGAGTCTATTGACGGAGAGTCTTTGCCGAGCATTGCAACCCGTCGCCGACGTGTGCCAGGTTGATTGGCGAGCAACAACGTTCGACTTTGCAGCCGCTGGCAGTGAGAGGGCGTGAACGACAGTGTAGGCGAGTTTGTGCTTGCATTTGGCTAATAGTGCTATAGTTTGTCGTCATAAACCTTCCTCATATTAGCAAGTGGAGAGGCGGCTACTGGCGGATCAGGGCGGTGCGAATCGAGCGTTCAGATGCAGAGAATGGCGGCCACAATGATGTTCTATACCCTGGGCAGCTGCGTAAGATACCTGTGTGGTGGACTCGAGTAAGTAGTGAATGGCACTGGCACTTGGTTGAAGATTGCGACTCCAATCAGCTGATGAGATTCGACGAAGATGACAAATCAGCGAGGTCGCTGGTGCGTTTGTTTGTTTGTTTGTAATACAGTAATACTGCCTCATCCGAGAGCTACCGAACCTGATACCTGTAGACCAGGCCAGGCACAAAGATCAATACGAGTGTAAGGAATTTATTGCAAGGAAGAAACAAACGACTACATGTACACTAGCAGAAGCATGACGTTGAAAATTGAAAAGCACCACTGGTGACTCCCGAATTCTTAATCAACGAGCAAGTGAGAGAAGTCTCGACGGTTGGAAGTACACGATGTATCCCAATTCTCATACAAGACTCACTTCGGTTGGGTAGACTTGACGGTCGGACAACAGTTGTTGTCCGATTCTCAATCAAATCTGTGAAGGTTTCAGAAGATCAACTGGCAAACGACGGAATTACGGACCTTCCTCAGTCACTTGCGGATTGACTTCAAGTCGCGGGTCTTGACGGTCGAAAGCTGATCGCGGGGCTGAAAATACGCCGTCGTTCGTCAGTTCCGATTCTCAATCAAGGCTCGCTGGTGGTGATGGTCGATCCTCGAGGGTCAGGAATTCGATTCTCGCTCGAAAGCTGCGGTTAGTGAGTTGACAGTCGAAAGCTGATCGCGGGGCTCAAAAGGCCGTCGTTCGTCAGATCTGATTCTCGATCATGATCAAGGCTTGCTACGAATTTCGAGGGTCGGGGTCCGATTCTCGCTCGAGGGTTGGGTAATAAGATGATGTCGATTCTCGATCAAGACTCGTTGCAAGTTTTGAGGGTCGGTGTTCGGTTCTCGCTGGATTGGTAAAAAGCGAGTCGGAATCCATATGCGGTGGGTACCGGTCCGATGCTTGCACGTATGTGCTGTGGTTGTTGATTTCTATACGGTTGAAAGAGCGTAGAGGCAATGTACTTTCTCCTCGACCCCGTCCCGGGCCATCTCTCAATTCTCTATCCGTTTCTCCAAATCATGCATATGCGCCGAATTATCAATAGCCATCGATAGTGTGCATTGACAATGAGCTAGACCAGACGCAGTATTGGCAACAAGCCGGGCGTCCCTAGCGGTGCTTACTTGCATTTCCGTAGTGATGTTGTCCAGCCATCTTCGATTTGGGTTTCTGAAATCTTGGTAGTTACAGCAACGGCACGGATAATAGGCAGATTTCGTTTTTTTATGGAAGGAGTCGGGCCAGGCGACCACACAGTCGCCAAATTTTACGCGCAGTTGGCCACTGATCACATTATTCAGCAAGACGAAGACGGAAAAGAGTAAAGACTGACAGCTTCACAGTAGACGAAGAACAATACCGGCGGCACAACCACAAGCTAGACGAGAAGTCAGCCCGTGTCGTTATCTGGTAGAGCTGAATATCGAACCAGTAAGCAAGACCATGGTACGTCCTTCCACAAAGCTCCATTGATCCCGTCCTGATATACGTCTCCCCACCACCGAATTTGCTCCCGTTTCCAAACAGCACTATTCTTGACCAGATTTTTTACAGCATAACGCCGATCCGGAACACGCGACGAAGTGAGACTCCAAGTTCCGCCCAGGATGCAGAGATATGGTATCAGAGGTAGGTATACCAGCACTGATATGGCCGATTCGACGATTGAGACGAAGAGGGCAAGTAGCCCAATTCGGATGGTGTTTGCGACAAGTATAACACATCTGAGCGGCCCGGAAAAGACGGTGTATGCTAATTCTCTGATCAATGTCACGATAATGGTCGTCGCGAGGTAGATTGCGTGGAGAAAGCTGTAAATTACGACAGGGCCAAGCAGCATCTTCAAGCGATCAAAAAGACGGATTGAGGGAAACAAAAGAGGGCTTACATGAAGAGTCCCCGGCTCCCATGGTTCATCTGAGTGAGCGAACAACCCAAGTTCTTGGAAATTGTGCAGGAGAGACTTGATGCGCCCAGTGAGTCCGTATAATAGCATGGTTGCTAGGTGCTGCGATAACGGATTCCACGACAAATCCAAACAGATCGGTGCAATTGTTATAAACACCACAAGCCGCTCTGTGACCGAAGACAGAACGATCCTTCTGCGGCAGCGATAGAAACGAGGAATAAGGATGATCCAGACTAGATGGCCGCCAGTCAAGAGACGGATGATAGCCTTTTCACTCCATTCTCGGAATGTGCAGGTCGTCATCGAGGCAATAAGGAGAATGATTGTTTGGGTAATCTGAAAGCCTTGCTCAAGGTTGCGTCCAAGAAGATACGACAACACTAGAGGTTTGGAAGTAATTATCCCATAGAAGTGAAGCGCATATAAAAATGCACAGGGGATGCCAATTGTCACCCATAGCGTGGAGAGCGACATGAAGTTCACTCTCATTTGAAATCTGAGACGGATGCATGCAACGACTAGCACCATGTAGACAGTAACGAGGAGCCAATTTGTCAGGGGTTGCACGATGTGGGGTGCACAAGGAGTTGGGGGTTGGATGCTGACGGTCTTGGTCGGCTGATATATGGTGGCCAGTGGCACCACCTTAATAGCCTCTTCAACGACACCAATTGTGGGGAGAAAAAGGTATGCAATTTTGACACTCCAGAAGAGGCATTGTATGGGTGCGACAACGGTGGTGAAGAAGCTGCGAAGCGATGGATTCAAGAGCATGGTGGGCTCAGACAAGTCGAATGACAGTGACGTGACGTGACTTGGTTGCTGACTTACATCCGCCCTCACGTGCAACCGGTCTTCACCTTTCACCATCCCTCGACCGAGTGCTGCAAAGCACGCCGAAAGTAGATATCGTCCGGAGCTACCTCGCCACGTTAGTAATCTCTTCATACCAAGTAACTCGCTAACCTTGAAGTTCTCCAAGCCACTCAGGTCGACCAAGATTCCTGTCCTCGCCGCGTGAAAGATCTAATAAGAAGGTAAGCGCTGGTAATTGCTTTCAACGAACCTCGCCATACTAACCAGCAAATTCTAGATGTTGTTGTTTCGGTATCTCGTCGCGCTTCTGGCACTCGTGTCGAAATTACCGCAGAACCCAACGGTGGGACCCATTCTCGTATCAGGAGCCGTCGAGGCGTATGCACATTTCCTGCGCACTCGGTTGAAATATCGGCTCTCAGCAGCATCACCTATCCAAGAGCCTCGACCGCCAAGGCCGACGATCCGCCCACCACGCAATACATGCACAGTGGTCGAGCCATTTGTTTGCCCAGAAGTGCTTCCACTCCAGCGTTCGAAGTCACTAAGGCCTACGAGCAGAATATTGAAGCGCCAATTCTGTCCAGAGACTAGGCGGGGGAATGTGTCGACCACAACGCAAGAGTCGGAGACGATAGCGTCCGGGCAAGTAGTTGATGATCCAGGTCTACCAGAAGGATATTCGTCAACCGAGTCTTGGTCAGGCTGGTATTCCCTTGCGTGGGATGTTCTCCAACCCGCCATCGATGCTCTCCCTGACCCGGAAAGTGGCTTTGCAGCACTCAGCGTTCATATATCGCTCATGGCTGTGATTGGCTATGTCATTTGGTTGGCGCTGGCACCTCTCTTGTGGCGACTTTTCGATTTCGTGCAGCCGCATATACGAGAGTGGTTGGAGTTCGTTCTGGAAAAAGTTTGGCTGTTAGTACGGGAGCAAGACGAGGAGGAGGGCCATGAATTACCTCAAGAGGAAGCTCTTCAGAATCCGATGGAGCTGGCTGTCGTCCAATGGCAGGAAGGTGCGCAATGGCTCGTTCACATTGCTGAGATCTGATTTCTCAGTTGCCAATGCCGGTTGGGGTCACAGGCTAGTTGTCAACGAGGTAGAAGATGGTGGTTCGTGTTCCTTTTCTTCATTTTGTGAGCCTCAGCGAATACAGTGACCCATGCACTGGCAAGGGAGAGGCACATCGTGGTAGATGGTGATGAGGTTGATAGGAATGCACGTGCCCATCATGATGGTGAGCTTTTCTCTTTGCGCCAAACTGAAACTCAAACAACGACAATCCAGACGTGGGACAAGCTGCCGAGGACAACGAAGAAGGACGTGTTCTGCTTGTTTATGAATCAAATCATGGTGCGGGTTCACACCACTTGTTGAAAACCTTTCCTTGACGATGACCTCTCTAGTCGAAAATCATGCTCCCTTGGCTCAAGACGTGAAGAGCAACGTGCAAACATCTGTGCATGCACTGTCCAACCCCGGAAAAGAAGTCACTGTTGACGGTGAAGAGCTGGAGGTTGATCGAAACTCTTCAAGCCCCCACAATCAGGCGATGAACGTCGAGGAAGCCATTGTAAACCATGGTGCGTATCTGATCATCTTTCCATATTACTTGCTAAGGCTACTGACTCAGAAACTCATCCAGTCGACAATGGTGATCAACTGGCTCTCCTTGCTGGTGCAAAAAATGATGACGAAAGCTTGGTGCGGCGCGATAGCCATCCTGCTACTTGCCTAGGAGAAATTGGAGGTATGTGTTATAGGCGATGTGGGTATACTTACTCTTGCTTTGCATCGGATAGACACCTCAGGTCCTGCGAGAGAACATTTGAGTTCTAACCTAGTGCAAGGTCAGTTAATAGTTCAGTCCCTTGGTTCACTCACCCAACCGTTGCTTGACACAGACACCACTCTTGACAAGCTTCCTATTGACGATCAAACTGAAGTCGGCGGGGCTTCGTCTGTAGCCTCATTGGCAGGCAAACGTGGTTTGTACCTTCTGTTGTTTCCATTTGATCTCGGGTTCAATTGTCGGAGCAGATGATGACCATATAGAAGGCATCTGCGAAGAAAGTTTAGGTCTGTTGAAGTATCGTATCGGGAAATCGAGGCATTCTGAACTGTCTCCAGAATTCGTGGGAAATGAGGCCTTCATCCTTGCTAGCGACAGCCAAGAAGATTCATTGGACAGCTCAAACTTGTTTAGTGGAGGAAGTGACGCTAATGATTTCAACAAAACACGTTTGTGTATGTTCATCGCTTCTTCTGCATTGCTCTTCTCAATGTCGCCAGCTGCGTGGACCGAGCAACGAGTGAATGAAAACATATCACAAGGTTTGTCATTTTCTCCGACTACCATTTCTTACATTTCAAAAGATGTTTCTCCCGATGTCCCTTCAAGTTGCACCTTCCCTCTCTCACCCAGATTGACCAACTCCCATGCGATACCTTCCACGCCTAAAATCGACCTCGCTGCGCGACGGCAGGAATATAAGGCCCATCACGGGCATTTTTCGCCTAATCCCAACAGTCGAAAGGGGAAAGGTCGAGCGGCAGGAATTGCTTCTCAAGAGACAGAGATAGGACATTACGACGAGACACAAGGTCAACGACATTCACTCCCTTGCGTTGTTTGTCTGACCATTGCCACGACAGACATTACGGCTCGCGATGAGAACAACAATTTTATTGGGCGAGATGTTGAGGCGGTCGCATGCGGTATGCTTGGCCAATTACCTTTCGACCGAGATCTCATTGATAAACAGACAACGACGAATTCGAAGACGGAAATCGTGCTTTCATTGTTGCCAGCGATAGTCAAGAAGATGTGGTGGACAACTCCACCCGGTTTATTCCCAAGACACCACGTAAAGCTGTCGGTGCTATATCACAAGGTCTATCTCGTTCATTTGGCCGAGTGACCTGGCTCATTGCTTCAGATGTAATCATCTCCAAACCTGGGCAAGAGATGGCCATAACGACTTCTTTCCCATACTCTCCCGTCTCTTTCCATGTCTCCGTTTCTCCTCCACCCTCAACCCCTGGGAGCAAGCTTGCTGCACAACGGCGAGAATATAAAGCGCGCCACGGGCATGTTTCTCCGGATGCTGCCAGCAGAAAAGGGAAGGGGCGAGCAGTGACGGCGGAAGAGCTGTTCGAATCCAGCCATACAGATCAAGCATCAGAAGTTACAAACACTATTGAAAACGATCCAGTGGCAGCTCATCTTCCTGCAATCTTCACGGGTCTGCTTATTCCTTGTTGTGACTTGAAAAGTTCTGATAATGCGCAGACTCCGTCCCAATCCACCCACAAAATCTCTTCTGCCACACCGCCCACTCTGTCGCCCCTGGAAGACTTAGTTTTGCTGACATTCGTCAAATGGCGGCAGCGTCAAATCATGAACGGGGTGCTTCTCAACAAGTCCCAAGCGATACAGTGACGGACAGCAGCATAAAAGCAGATAGGAGAGGCCGCTCCCAAACAGCTGAGGTGATTATGGATGCTCGCATTCTTGTGGATTTGAACGGCCCTTGCCATCAACGAGCAATCTCAGACGGCACGCGTTGCACGTTATTTCCTTCGCGCATCCCGCGTCCGTCACGCGGACCGATTTCTTTCCCAAGACGAGAACGTAGCCGAGCGGACAGTGGACCAGCGTCTGCTGCTGTCAACCTTGTTGAAACTCGTCCATTCATGCCGGAGTTGGCGGGCGACGAGAACGAGCAACCTGATCCAGTCAACTCGCAGGACATCGCACCAAGCGAAGGCCCTAATTTGATGCATTCCAACCTGTCTGCATTTCGCAGCCAAATGCGTCTCAGCGAGCTCGGGCCGATCGCACACATCTCGTCTTCTCAGATCTGGGCAACCGAAACCCCTACGACTCCTCCCGGAAGCCCACTCAAATCCGTCGACATGCCTTGCAAAGATTCGAGCACCAATGCCAGTGAACAAGTCAACCCTCTTGCCCAGCCAATATTGGCTGTTGTTGCAGCAGAGTCGACAGAAATGACTCGTTCGGAACGAATCCGTCATCTCCCCACTCACCTTCGTCAACAATTGGGACGGGATATCGAATCCGGCGACTTGACATTTCTGGAAGAATGTGGGCCCGCGGTGCCAGTTGCGTTGGTGCACTCAACCGCTCTGGTGCCTGTTGCGCAGATCGAAGCAGTGAAGACAGGCTGTACCGCGCTCAATACCACCCCTTCCTCTGGTTCTTTATGGTCGACAACTAGTCGTTCATACATGTCGTTGAGTGAGCTCGGCGTTGGTCCTTCTTCAACGTTGACGGAGGCTTTGGGCAAGCTCCCCAATGCGGATAAACTGTTGGGGGATTTTTCTCCAACAAAAAGTCGGCCAGTCAGGATCGCTCCAGTAGGTTTTTCGGGGGAAGAGGAAGGGTCGGGTTTGACGCGGTCTGAACGCGTGGATCGTTTGCCTGCGCATTATCAAGGTCAACATGGTAACAATGTCCAGTCAGGAGACATCGTCTTCCTCGAGGATATGCACGATGGTGCTGGCCCTCGAGCGCTGGCTCATTCCACTGGGGTATCATGTGCCAAGGTTGGGGGAGAACGGGCGGAGGATGTCATGGACTCGGATATGGTTGAAGTCGTTGTTAAACAGGCAGCAGATAATAGGCAGGCAACCTTCATATGATTTAGATTATTGTTGTACTTTGTTCATATCAGGCTGTGCTTGATATCTTTACGCTGGAGGTTCTTTTCTGTCGTATGAGCTTTCCCCACTGAAATCCACGTGACCTTCGCGTCGCGTTTTTAACTCCAGCCACAACTTTGGCATAACATCGTCAGGCAACTTCGCATTCAGATGGCGACAAACGACGACAGACCGCGAGTTCTACTGGTCTCTTTCGAGTTCATGGAGTTCTTTGACGACACGTACAAACCTCTGATTGAAGCTTTGAGCGAAAAAGCTGCTGTACAACGCGTCAAAACGGCAAACCCTGCTATTCGCACATTGGAGCAGGACCCCAAGGCTGTTCTCATCACGGACGGAGGGATTGCCAATGAGCTTGGGAAATACGGACGCGTTTGGGATGCAATTCTTGCTTATGTCCGACGGGGAGGTACTGCGATTGTGATGGGCCACTTCTCGAGCTTCGTCAAGCCAGACAACATCAAGCCGTTCTTCGCAAAGGCCGGGCTGTCGTGGGAGAGAGGGTCTTACCACCGGACTACGACAACGTTGAACCGCACGAATGCTGGGCCAATGGCGGACAAGTTGCCTGCGAGTTATAGTCAGAAGGCATTGTCGGTGAGCAAGGTCGATCCAGCCCACGTTTGGTACGCGTCAACGGCTGAATCGGTTGTCGAATCGCATGTCTTTGCGCCGACCTCGGCGCATACCCCTTCAGAGGCAGCAGTGGCGCTGGCGGTGGTGGGAGATGGGAAGTTGGCGTATCTGGGAGATGTCAATGCAGAAGACGGGTCGAATGATGCAGTGTTGGCGATGTGTGGCTTTCTATGATGATAGTCGTGAGTTGGCATTCAGCAGAGGTCTGGTCTAACTAATCTACTTCGTTTGAAGAACACTCGAATCACAACTTTCGCCTCGCCTCAGTGGGTAGTTGCAACATCCCATGAAATTGTTTCTGTCGTCAATGTACGCTGTTAATGGGGGAGAATTGTCTACTCTCTGAGTACGCAAATCCTGTCTTCACGCTTGAGAGGCAACAACTCGAGTTCGATGGTGGACACGCGGCACACAAACCGACCTCCATCTCCTTTAGTGCCTTGTGCCGTGCAGAAAGCGGCGGAGGCTGCCATTGGTGAGGGAGGACCTGGATAGCAGGAGGGCCATCAGTTGAGTTCTTCTTGGGTTTCTGACAGCCTTTTGTTCAGGGGACCCAAATCCGTAGGTCATGTGACAATCTCCGGATCAAAATCTTCTCTTTTCATGTCGGTCACCATCGGGATTCTAGGCAAGCGCTGCTTGCCTCTGGGAAAGCCAAGGGACCAACACTGCTCTTCCACACAGCCCTTCAAGCTTCAAGGCGCATTTGCAGAACACCAGTCAAGACTGCAAAATCTTCATCTCAAACGCAAAATCGCGACTGTGCTCGTGAAGACTACGGATGACCTCGAGCGGTGTGATGGGCTCATTATTCCGGGTGGCGGTTCGTCTGACCAGATCTCATTAAATCTCAGCATGTTCAAATAATCATGCCAGAATCAACCACTATCGCCCTTCTGGCGCGGCTTTCGGGTCTGACAGACGCTCTCAAGCAATTCATCCAATCCAAACCGGTCTGGGGCACTTGTGCTGGCGCTATTCTGCTATCGAGATCAGTCACTAGTGCGAAGAAGGACGGACAAGAGCTGTTTGGAGGCGTGTCAGTTGACATTGCGAGGAATGGCTGGGGTTCGCAGGTAAGACTCTCTGAGTTAGTGTGCTTTTCTTTACTTATCGCGTTCGCAGGTCGAATCGTTCGAGGCAGCTCTGGACGTCAATGGCCTCTCGGACTCGGCAGTACCGTATACGGGCATCTTCATTCGTGCTCCGGTGTGTTTCTCGTTTTGGAAGGAAGTATTAGAGCTGATTGTTTTCCAGGTTGTCATCGGGCTAGATTCAAATGCTGGAATCCAAGTCATTGCACGACTACCACCCAATCTGCTTCCAGAGCCAGTGGACGACGAGATTGACCCACGAACTATCGTCGCTCTCCGGGAAGGCCAACATTTGCTGACGACCTTCCATCCTGAGCTGACAAAAGACAATCGCTTTCATGACTATTTTGCACGACAGTGTGTACTTCCTAGCCTAGATACTCATTAGACAATAGATACCGTCGAAACTTGAAATTTTGCTTATTTTAACGTGCATTCAACTGGTTCAACGACTGTGTCCGTGACTCACGGTGGTGCAGCAAATAAAAACAGCGCCCCAATGAACACACCCACTTCAATTTTTTCAGCAATGCCCTCCAGGCTCCTCGTAGCTCTCTTGGGAGCTCCAACTGCCTACGCAGTCTTCAAGATCATCTTGAAAGCATTATATGGATCCCGTTCGCCGCTTTACACCCTTCGCGTCGATTCTAGCATCACACGTGGCGTCGACCACGACCAGCAGTCAGCGACTTCGATAACCCCGGTTGACGACTTCACACTAACCGTGTGATGATATATTGGAATTACAGACATTTCATACAGGACCAATTTTTTTTTTACTTTACAGTGGCCAGGCAGATGTGCGAAGAACAAAGGCAGCAAATATGATAACCTTCCTGACCTACAAGATCGTTAGTTGCAATGCAGACAACAGAAGAAAGGAACAAACGGACTCAGACAGCAGCCAGGAATGCTGGAATATCATCCCAACAGAGATTTGCACCTGGGAACTCGACCAGGACAAGATCCCAAAGATACTGAAACAGAGTCGCATAAGTTATATCGGAGCCATCACTCCCTTTGCTTGTTCCACTGGTGATCAGGCCGACAAGCTCCCCTGCTGGAGAAACCACGAGAGCACCCGAGTCCCCACCCTTGGAGAACGGCCCAACCTGACGCTCATGGGGGAGAATGGGGAGTTCAAGTGACTCGAGGGTACCGGTTGTAAAGTACTTCCTTGTGAAGGACATAAATTGGGGTAGCGTTCTGACCGTTGTGTTGGTTGGGAAACCACGTTTCAGGACCCGAGGGATTCGATCTTGATCAATGGGACTTTTGATTTCGTTCTTCGTCGTGATACCCTTGAGTTGGAGGAGGCCATTGGATGGGTGGTTGAATTGAAAGGGGATACATGTATCAGGATGGTCGTATAGAAGGCCCTTGAGGTCGGACTCATTCATCTCAGATCCTAGGAAAAACAGAAGAGAGAAGGGACAATGATGAACAAACAGAACTTGAATGACAGACAAGCATCATACCTAAACTGAGCAAATTTCCGACGAATTTGGAGAATTTCGACTGGTGCGGTTCAACAACGCACACATCTCGGGTGAAGCGACTAGGACCGACGCCCACACCGATGGGAGGAGCCCAGACAATATGCCCAATCACATGTGCACCCGTCTTGCTCCAGTTCTTCGACAGCGTGACGAACAACTGCTTGAGCTTGACAATGCGTCGGTGTGCCTTGTCGAGCTCGGTCTCGAAATCTGCAAGCCTTTCCTTCGACTCCAAGAGATTAATTTGCTTCTCAACTCGGGCGCTGTAGGTCGCGATCAACTTCTTGAACGAAACAACGGAGTCATTGAGGTTGCTGATACGGGCTTGTATGGCGGCTTGGTAGTTTTCAAAAGCCGAAGCACCCATTGCAATGACCTCGCGCTTCGGGCCATGTGCTAGGAAAAAAAGAGGGGGGGTCAGTAATCTCATTCGTGAAACAGCAAGTCAACGTACGGTGATACCGATACTCGTTGTTTCCATCGTTGGCCAAGAACAAATTGCGACGAGCCGTAATTGCGTAAAGGTTGTTGCCGTGCTTGAAGTATGGCCCCAATGTTCCTTGCATTGGCGTCTTTCGACCGCAGATGGGGATGCACAAGATACTATCGATGAAGTCTTGCAATGAATCACCCGTCTCGGAGAGTGCCGGCCCTGGGCCGCTGCGAACCAAGGATTGTGTGATAGACTCGCGAAAGGCGATATCCACATTGACGATGTTGAGCCCATTCAAGAAATCACGAATTTTCCGGTTGAGCTCGGCGGCGTGTGTAGCGTTCAAAGTATCGGGCAAGACGCCGATCCAGATCGTTGGATTGGTGTAGTACCTGTCGCCGGTCTTGGCGTATGCAGCATCGATATCCTCGTCATCCAGATTATAATCGGTTGCTGCGGTTTCCTCTTCCTTGTTCACCTCAATCTCCTGGTCATCCCGCTTATTGAGCCAGGTGAAACGAACAAAGTCAATAGACGAAACCCTAATTTCTTGGGCTATGAGGAACACTTCAACCTTGTAACGAGCATGAGCGGGGGATTATGAGAAGAAGAAGAAACTGTACGTGCCCAATCACGGACGGTGTCCCATAGTCCATTCTTCGCAAAATAATGGCTGCTTGGGACCGGCACAAGCCTCATCATGCGAATGAAAGCCTCAGGCCCGGTTGGTTCTTCGAACACGTCAGGAGAATCACGATGGACTAGCCGTGGCCATGTTCCCTTGGGCCCGAGACCTGCATAATAAAAGGCCGCTTCGAGTTCGCCAGGGTCCGACTCGACGGTGGTCGCCGAGGTCTCGCTGGTCGGCGAGGACCAGAGACTTCTAGTCTCGTCGGAAAGGTCGCTCCCGTAAGCGATCGATACTCTGGCGAGGTCGTGTGCTTTTTGCGCACAGCGGAAGTCGAAAGCCGCGGAGTTGACCCAGTCATCGATGCTGTCCCTTAGCAAGTAGATTGTGAGGATTGTAGGAAAGTCGAGATGACGGATGGCTCACCAGGGGACGGAAATGGGTTCTTGTCGCGTTCGAGCGACATGCTTCATACCATCCTGCTTGGTTTGTTTGGTCGTGTTTTGATAAACGTCAAATTCCGAAAACAGCACAGTTTCGAGGCTTCAACACCTCTCTCAACTACTTATCAGCGACATAAACTATTAACCCGTAAGTACCATCCTGGAGTAGCAACTTATCATGTACAGAGGTTCCCACTTTTTATATAAGTTGCTGAACACGAAACCCGGACATACAAATCTTCAACACTTTACTTTTTTTCTTTCTTATTTGGAAGACGCTCCACGGTGACGCTTGTGACACGGGGATACCCCTAAAACTTCATCTTGCCCTCTGACCATGTCCACCCCACCTGCGCCGACCCAACTTGCGCCATGGAAAGTTCGCGCCGCACGCCGGAATCTCGCCTATGATCGCCTCACCAAGAATGACTGCCCCTCTCTCTTCCAGATGCTCGACAATTTCAAGATACCCTTGAGGCGAGGCACGAGCGGCTCAAGGGTATCGTAAGATAAGTTAGCTACAGATGTGTCGAGTAGACGTCACGTGCCATCATCTCTTCTTCTCCGCCCTCGACACATCTGTCGGGGCCTTTTCTCTTTTTTTCTCTGCCTCGCTCTCTCTGCTCGCCTTCCTTGCCACATGTCTGAAGGCAGCCCAACTCAGCGCTCTCCTGTAAGGGCAACCTCGCGAGGCTCGAAATCAGAGTCCTGAGCAGAGGGGGAATCCTTAGTGAAACTACTACAACAGGAAGGGACGCTACAGACTCACCTGAGCAGAGGGGGAATCCTTAGAGAACAAGCCAAGGAGCCCTCTGCTCAGGTGCACTACTATATACTAGTGACCGGAGTAATGATAGAGTGACTGCATAGCGACGAACGACGCATGGGAGAAGTCAGGTGTCGCTAATGGACCCTAGGTGAGTGTCGAGTAGCCCTCGAAGCTCCGGAGAGGCAGGTTTGGGACCGTGATGCCAAGGGAGGAGCCCAGGCATCCTTAGAAGGCCTAAGAAGGGCTTCGGGAGGTCCAGGCTGCCTCTGAGCGTCTCCGCTTGTGACCGTGACCGTGACAACCGGAATCGGAACCGGAATCGGAATCGACTCCGGGTGTGTGACCGTGACGTGACGGCCGGAAACGGAGAGGGAAGGCGTGGAGCGGAAGGGGAAGGAGTCTGGTCTAGCCCAAGGGCCGGGGAGTGTCGGAGAGGACCAATGGGAATGGCGGCCAGCCATGACCACTGGAGGGTAGCGACAGGAGGGTCACTCGGAGACGTCCCCGGACGTCTCCAGAGAGGTGGAGGTGTGAGGGCGTGCAGCCTGGGGCGCTGCAGTAGGCACGAGCCTTAACGGCAGTAGGCCTCACCCAGGGGAAGGCCCGATGGACGGGGGCCGTGGTGGCGGAGTGGAGAGCGGAGCCATGGCAAGGCTCAGCCATCCGAACATAAGCCCGAACGCTGACATGGGTTGGGGACACCCAAGAGGTCCAGCAGGTAGAGATCGTAGGGAGACCTTGATAAGTGACAGCCCAGAGAGGCTAGAAGGCCATAGGCTCAAGGTCTCGGAGGGAAGTGGTGCGTCCACATCCGGAGAGGTCTCCGATGGCATTAGTGATCCCTGATGGTGACTCCGCCGGCGGAGAGACTCCCGGAAAGGGGTGGCCAGGGAAGTCGAAGACTGGGGATCACTGGATGTGTGATGTGGTGCGGGCAGTGGAGGGAGAGCGTCAGGGTGCGGAGACACGGAGACACGAGCGGAGACGCGGAGACGCGAGCGGAGACGCGGCGCTTGATGGGATCAAGTGACGGCATCAGGGTTTCCCCTGACATCATCCCCCCTTCAAGCTGCGTCGCCCCGATGCAGGAAAAAAAAATCGGGGGGTCACTGAGCTCGTCCTCCGGAGTCCCTTGTCCTCCGGTGGCCAAGCTCCTGTCTCTGTCGATGTCCAGAGACTGTCCATCTCCAAGAGCCAGTGTGACGGTACCTTGGCGTTGCTCCAGTGATTGCTGTTGCCAAGGTCAACCCATGGAGTACTTGCGTTCTCCACTGGTTGCGCGCCCATATTCGGGAGACGCCCGGAGACCTGCGGTCCCGGTGCCTCTCCGAGAGATGGTGCAACCACACCTTTGCGTAGCTCGGTGTGCGCCCGCTTGCGCTCTGGTCGCATGTTGCTCCAGGAGGGTCCTCTGCGAGTCCCCTCCTATACCTCCTCCATCCCCCTTCAAGAGTGCGGCGCCCCCGACGCACCACAGAAAAAAAAAAAAGGGGGGGTCTGCGCTTAGCCAAAGCACCAAGTACACCTCCGGAAACGTCTCCGTTTGTGCCCGGAAACGTCTCCGAGCGTGACCGGAAACGCCTGTGACGTCACAGGGCGATTCCGACCATCTCTACTGGTTGTTGGAGATCGTTGGGCGGCAAATGACTTGCCATGGGGTGATAGCATAGCGAGTGGCGAGCTCACTTTTACTGCACCCAGATGTCAGGTTGGGGGGGAAAGGAATTGCAGTGTGACTCCGGACACTGCGCTGTCAGCCGGGGCACTAAGCCTAGTGTTGCGGACTGGGTGGCAACAGCTCGACCCATCCTAGTTGTGCGGCAGAGGCGGGTTGACGTAGGCATTCCAGAAGCGATTCCATTGTTCGGGGTCCGGCTGTACAATGGGACCCTTTGAGCATCTCCGCTTGTGACGTGACCGTGACGTGACTACCGGAAACGGAAACGCGATTCCGAGCGCGTGACCGTGACGTGACGGGCGGAAAGCGGAGAGGGGTCCCATGAACGGAAGGGGCACCTGCAGAGCCCTGAACTGCAGTGACTGCCTAGGTAACACCATGGTGGATCCTCTAAGGCAAGGGTACCCTCCGGGGCAGCTATGTTGACACCAGAGACGTATGAGACGTCTCCAGGGGGTGTGCTAGATGAACTCCGATGCCATGTGAATGACATTATGGGGTGGAGTCCGTCTCCGGAGAGTGAGGGGGAAAGTCGGCACTCCGACTCAGCACCTGCCACTCGTCGCCTAGTAGGGCGGCCCCAGGCGAGCGGACTCGTCGTCTCGCATCTGGCACGGGCCTATACGGCAGTAGGCCACGCCCAGAACCTAGTGGGGCGGCAACGAGTGGTGTCATGCCAAGGTGTCGCAAGCCGATCAAAGGGATCAGCCATCTCGCGGTTATCCCAAGGTCCAGAGTCGAACTGGACGCGTCGAGCCGGACACGTAGGGAAGGTCACCCGGGTGGTCCGATGAGAATCGGGGCCGGGTTGTGAAGCCCGCGGAGACACGTGCGTAGGGGAACACGGGTGATGGAGTGTGGGAGACTTGCCTCCCAAGCCTTTGCTCGGGGTGTGAGCGGTCTCGTGTCAAAGGCGCGATGACAGCATCAGCGGAAAGGATCTCCGGGGTGCTGGAGACAGAGGCGAGGTGTATGGTGATGGCAGAAGGTGCGGAAGAAAGAGTTGTCGCACCAGCAAAAACACTGTGATCAGCATCTTTGGCAGTTAGAGTGGGGAGCATGCAGAGATAATAGCCATCGCAGCGACAACCGCGGGAAAGCGGAATCGGAATCGGAATCGGAATCGGAATCGGAATCCGGAGTCGTTTTGATGCCATCAGGGCGCTCCGCATGACAGGGAAAGCCCATTCCGACAGGTGGCTGGCAGCAGGAACGGCTAGGGACAGACCAGCGGTGGCCGGAGAGGCCAGCATTAGCCATGGGTGGAGGGAAGGAAGGCGGGGCCACGGTCGGAATCGGGGGGAAGGGGGTCCGGAAGTGGTTCAGGACAGCCCGGGGCCATAGGGCGCGGGGCACGGGAAAGCTAAACCACGGCCGGAGGAGAACACCAAGGGCCGGGCAGGAGGAAGTATTGAGGCCTCACGAGGACCAAAGTGTTCGAAGGGGGGCTGGGGCTGTGCAGCGCAAGGTCGGGTGGGGCCGGGACGGAGCCATCTGTCGCAATCCACCAAGAATCCTCCTGCATGCAGCCCCTCCGGAGGCCACCTCCAGGTTACCGGCAGGGGGGCGTCAGAGACTGCGGGCCCTGGCAGGGAGTTGGGAGGTGAGGTCCGGATTGGTGGGCTTGTTCTGCTGTAAGGGCAACCTCGCGAGGCTCGAAATCAGAGTCCTGAGCAGAGGGGGAATCCTTAGTGAAACTACTACAACAGGAAGGGGACGCTACAGACTCACCTGAGCAGAGGGGGAATCCTTAGAGAACAAGCCAAGGAGCCCTCTGCTCAGGTGCACTACTATATACTAGTGACCGGAGTAATGATAGAGTGACTGCATAGCGACGAACGACGCATGGGAGAAGTCAGGTGTCGCTAATGGACCCTAGGTGAGTGTCGAGTAGCCCTCGAAGCTCCGGAGAGGCAGGTTTGGGACCGTGATGCCAAGGGAGGAGCCCAGGCATCCTTAGAAGGCCTAAGAAGGGCTTCGGGAGGTCCAGGCTGCCTCTGAGCGTCTCCGCTTGTGACCGTGACCGTGACAACCGGAATCGGAACCGGAATCGGAATCGACTCCGGGTGTGTGACCGTGACGTGACGGCCGGAAACGGAGAGGGAAGGCGTGGAGCGGAAGGGGAAGGAGTCTGGTCTAGCCCAAGGGCCGGGGAGTGTCGGAGAGGACCAATGGGAATGGCGGCCAGCCATGACCACTGGAGGGTAGCGACAGGAGGGTCACTCGGAGACGTCCCCGGACGTCTCCAGAGAGGTGGAGGTGTGAGGGCGTGCAGCCTGGGGCGCTGCAGTAGGCACGAGCCTTAACGGCAGTAGGCCTCACCCAGGGGAAGGCCCGATGACGGGGGCCGTGGTGGCGGAGTGGAGAGCGGAGCCATGGCAAGGCTCAGCCATCCGAACATAAGCCCGAACGCTGACATGGGTTGGGGACACCCAAGAGGTCCAGCAGGTAGAGATCGTAGGGAGACCTTGATAAGTGACAGCCCAGAGAGGCTAGAAGGCCATAGGCTCAAGGTCTCGGAGGGAAGTGGTGCGTCCACATCCGGAGAGGTCTCCGATGGCATTAGTGATCCCTGATGGTGACTCCGCCGGCGGA